GAGATTGACTACATGTTTCTAAAGAGTAGATGTTTTAGGTGTCTTTTCAAGGGGTACTCATCGAGTGTGAAAAAACAGAAGCTGTAGCGGGCCAAGTTCTCTTTACGGTTGCCTTCACGTGGCTTTTCATAATTTTCCCTTATAGTTTGATCTAATATAGTTACTTCGTCTTGCATCAAAAACATAATATCTAACAATTTTTAACATTGTTTATTGGCGCCATATTGAATTAAAAAGTATGGCCAGAAACAATTTTGACTAATCGTGAATTGGTGTATTACGTGCTTCGTCTAATTTTTTTAAAATAAGATTAACTTCGCGGGAAACATGTCTAACCTCAGATAAAAAAATTGAAAAATGAACAACATCTGTTTAAAGATTTGAAGATTTAGAGGGCAGATTTTATCAGCAAATCAATCCTGTTACTTAAATGGCTTACAAAACTGTTTTTAGTGGTCTTAGAAAGAATTCATAGTATAAAGTTGTGGAACAATTAATGTAGATAAAAACACTTTTTTGATGCCATTTGATGTTCTCGTCTATTTTGTTGAGATAATATGAACCAAAACAATTTGCCGTAGATTCTATGCTATTGGCATTTTCACTAATCGTGAAGTATAAAAGGCCACCTCTTCTTTTAAGTGCCTCCTTTGAGAAAATGCCCCGAAAAAAGTTTGGAAAATTTAAAAGAGCAACCCAAACGTAATATGATGTCTTAACAGCTCTACATATCAAAAGTCACTTGAGTCAATGCTGTTATCAAATAGCTAACTTTAACACAACATTAAAATATGTATTCAGTTATTTTGTTATTTCATATTTCATACTGGGAACCAAAGTTATTTCATATTTCAAAACCAAAAATCTAAATAGTTATATTTTCTCCCAGAAAACGTTGATTATTTCATATTTCAATTTTCCCTTATAGGCACTCTTTTGCCATCGCGGCCGCGTCTTCGCGCTTAATTTCATTGCGGATTGCGGCATTTCGTTGATTTTTGCACGGTTTTGCGGCTTTTGGTCTCTCTATAATAGGCCCCCTTTAAATGACCAAAGAATTAATAGCCACCATCGCAATTTCAGCAACCAAAATAGCCGCAATTTTAGCAACCATCGTCTCAAAAATTTTCCTCGGACCATTTGCTTTCTATCTTTCATTTTAACCTGGGGCCTATAAATCCTCTCCGCGGCCCTGATCATAACATGTACATATCATGACAATTTATTAATCAATAAATTTGTCTCCATTTCTGCATTTTCAGTTTTTAGTTTGTTTAGGGAAAGTAGGGGTGGATGGACATCGATTATTAAAGTGTGACGTTACCCTGGAACAGCCCCAAGAGGCTTTTGTTGATTATCTTTATTTCCAAGTGGCACAATGTAACATAACACAATGTAGCTTATTAGAACCGTAAAATATTACATATTCAAATTATCATCTAAAACGGCCGTACATAACTAATGCTGCATATATATTGCATACTAAAAACCTCATACATTAATTTATAAAAGGTCAGACAATCAATTAAGTGATGAAAATTCTGAAGGTTGAAGGAAGTATTTAATTTTGCTGGAGATCGAGTTCAGTATTTGGTTGCATCAATATGATACAATATTAAATCCGTTTACTTTGTAATGTTGGTTGATCCGTTGCTTTTAAGTTTGAATTTTTGTAACTTATATGGAAATTCATTCATGGAAAATATTACATCCACAAAAGGTTTTAGAATAATGTACAGTATCTGAATAATGAATAATTTAGATATCTCTATCACAAGATATTGTATATTTTTTGTATAAGAACTGATTGTTTTGTTCGAATAGTCTGACTGTTCAAAAGTTGATTGATTTGATAATCGTTGTGTTGTGTTTGTTTCCCTTTCACGAATCCTGTTTATCCTGGTATTCCATTTCCTACTGCAAAAATATGGTTTAGAAGACGACTAGACTCATTCTTTTTATAAGAAACAAAGGTCGATGTTGAGTACTCCAGTTTCTAAATGTTCTGGAAATTTCAATACTAATTGTTTCTTAAAAGTTTCTTAATTATGATGTCATGAATGATGTTTTGAAATGTTTGTGACCTTTTTTATCACGTCAAGGGATTCGCTTCTGTTCTGATGCTGTATTTAGATGTGGGAAGTATATTTTTATCCCTTGTGTCTTAATTTCTAGGCCAAGGGGCAATCTTGTTCTTGGATTTTACAAAATTTCGTTGTTCCCAGTTTTATCACGATTTAATAGTTTCTTAATTTTTTTGCTTCGAGTACTGAAGTTCCTTATTTTTTTCTGACTGTCCAGTACTCGTTTCTTATAACCAGTTTCTTATAAAAACATGAGTGTATTAAAATTTAATAAAATGAATATTTTATTTGCTTAGATTTGTCCATATAAGAAGCAGTTCTGGCCAGGATTGCCATCTGACCGTTTTGACGGCCAAATTCCTCAGTTCTGGCCGTCAGAGCTGTTGGCCGTCGAAAATTGATTTAGCCAAAAAAGCAAAAGTTGACCAAATTTTGGCCGCATGTTGAAAGCCCCAAAAATGCAAAGAAACAAAGTAACAAAAATTAAAATTGAAAGCATGTTGGAGCTTTTGTAACAAACAAAGCCACTTTTGATTACAGTATTATTCCACAGAATTACCAAAAATGTAGTTTTTTCATAATTTGTTTGGCTGAACGAATTTGGCCGTCAAGTGTAAAATAAGATTTTGTTCAAACCTAAGTTTTTGTTTAAACGTAACTCAAATTTAGCATTTTTACTTGCTTTGGTAGTTCAACCATTAATTCTAATTTTAAATTTCTCCAAATATGATCGGCTGGCTTTAAAAGCTATAAGCGTGCTATTATTGCCATTGAGTATTGTCGCAAACCTTTATATTGTTGCAAAACCATTGATCATACCTCTTTTTGTTCTAAGCCGTCAACAGGAAGCAAAAAGTCATTTATGAAATTGCTGAAAAGCAGCAGATTTAATATAGATCATTGAGGAACTTCCTGTTTTGTTTCCATCGAATCACTAAAATCGGAGCTTACTTTAACTTTTTGTACTCTTTTAGCGTTGTAACTATATCTAGATATCTGGATAAATCTACAGTCTGGTACAGTCTGGCCTAAAATCGTGGAAAAAGATGCATTGCCCGGAGAAAAGTATTGATATGGCGAGTCGAGCAAAAAAATGAAAAACTGTAACTAAGATTGCTGTCTGTGCTGTAACATAAAAATCAGCGAAACTAGATTTTTCACACATTCATTTATTCTTAGTTTTGACTGATTGAATGATTTTTTTTATTTCAATTGCGCAATAGCTGAATGAATTATAAATCAATCAATTAGAAACTTTTGCGATCAAATAAATGACAATTTAAAATTAAGAAAAAGAAAAAGATCTAATTACAGATATAAAAAAATTACAGATAGAAGTTAAAAACATAGACTAAAAACACCCCAGGTTGAAAATGGCAGGGATAGCATTAAAAAGGTCAATACGATCTCGTTTCCATAATGGTCCCTCCAGAGGTGTTATAAAAAAAATGTGTACATGTAAAATTGATTTGTATCCGAAACTAGGAAAAAAGTAATTCTGGAAAAATGTTGACTAGAACCTTTGCGTTGGCTGAATTTGGATTTTCAATAAAATATGTAGGGGCTTTCCTCCTGACTTTGTAGATCATCAAAGAATTTATCTTTGATCTTGTGTTTGACACCATTGACGTTATTTGCAGATTTTAGTTTTGACGGTAGATTGTTCCAAATTTTGGGACCAAGATATGAGAGGCAATTTTGCCCTATGTTTTTCTTTCGGAAAGGTTGATTCAGTTTGTTTTTAGATCTTCGAGTGATTCTGTTCTGGCCAACTGGTAAGAACATGCAGGGTGGGACTGAATTATCAAAAAATTTGAAAACCTTTGCAGTCATACATTGTTCAAATCTCTCTTTCGTGGGGAGCCAATTGATATTTGTGAATTTCTTGATTCCTATATATGCTCTGTTATTTAGATTCAAACAAAACCTGATACATTTATTTTGAGCTGTCTGAATTCTTTTGGTCAATCTTTTGTTTAAGTATGAAAACCAAGCACTGCTTGCATAGTCAAAATGGGGCTGAATTGGTGCGTTTGCTAGCAATCTAGGAAATGAGAAGTCAAGAAAATGTTGCTTTCTGTAAAGAAATCTTAGCCTGCCATTGATTTTGCCTAGGATTCTTGTAGCCATTGATTCTCCGGACAGGTCCTCGTCGAGAATACAGCCTAAATATGTGACTGAGGTGTATTGTTTAATCTTGATGTCGCCTCTTCTGATGTCCAGTTTTTCTTCTGTCCGTATGTTTATTCTTTCTACCAAAAAGTATCGATTTTTCCTCTTGTCCTCTCCAAAATGAATGCTTAGTTTGTTATCAACAAACCAATTGCAAAGAGAATTAAAATCTCTGTTTAGTCGTTTTTCTATTTCATTCACGTTATTGTCTCCAAATACAAGATAGGACTCATCTGCATACAGAAGTAAGTCACAGTCGACTGCTTGTGACATGTCATTTACATATAAAAAGAGAATTAGTAGGAAAGCTGTTCTAGTCAAAGTGCTCATTCAAAAGAAACCAAAAGAAAATTTTTTGTTCCAAATCCCAGCCTTGTGTTCACTTCAATGTGAATGCAAATGATGCACATGATATGCAGCATTGGCTTTGAACGATTTTGTCTTGCTAGATACTCAACTGTTCAAAACACATAAATCGGCTTTGGATACTTAAGAAAACTCTTTTGGAAGATGCTATCGACTTAATTTGACGAGTGGTTACAGAAAAGGTATCTTATTTCATTGGAAAACCGCATAAATATTTTCTTTGGTCAGGTTTCCTTATAACAAATTGGTTTCACAAACATAAACAAATCTTCTATTTTGCTCAAAGAAACTTGATTAAACCTTTGGTTTATAAAACTCCATAGTAGTATCAGATATCCTATGCTGCCTTTATTTGTGGTTATAAGGTCATCTCCCATTGTTTCCATAAGTATAAAAAGATGAAGTCAATCCATATTCGACTGAGGTGTGCTGCCGGGAAGGAGTGAGCACAGAGGAGCAGTCCAGTGTAAGTAGTTGTGCATTATTCATTGAGCAAACCTTTAATACAACAAGGGATGTTCCATTCATAGTGACTGTCGCATTCGATGATATATGCAAACATGATAATTTTTTTATTCTCAGCTGCCAGAGAAAGTAGGGTCTTTTCATCTGAATTTCGCCCCAAGTTCAGATCCTTAGCGAGGAGCTGCATTTTAACCGTTAGAATGGTCTGAAGTTTCTGTTTGCTACAAATCAACTTCCATATACTCTTCAATAGTTTTCTTTTGACTTATTTCAAAACCATTATATTGACGAATTATACGATATAATATTAAACACTCAATGCATTATTATATGGTATTCAACAGTATTATTTGAGATAAACTACGAGAAATCTCTTTCTTAGCCTCAACACTGATTTTGCATTTTACACTTTCCTGTTTAATAACTCTTATCTATTTCCATTTAGGGTTTGCAGAAGGAAGAGAAATGGCCCTTTCAATTGGTTCCATGTTTTTGTTAGGGCTGGCGTGGTCAGTCGGTGAGTTTCTTCCTGTTACTTTGTTACCACTGGCAACCAAAAATTCGGCCACATTGTATCTGCCCTTTCGAAACATTACAAAAAATTGCAAACACATTTACCCAAAAAAATTACTTTAATTTCTTTCGCAGTTAAATAAAGCTACGTTGCTGATAGTTTAAAATTAGTTTTCTATGATTTTATTCAAAAGTTATAGTTATCGTTGATGTTTTACATATGCAAATTAGACTTTGGTCTCACGCTTGGCCTTTATAAGAGAGGGCCAAAGCAGAAAGGTGCATGGAAGTTATGCCTTAAAAATTGTTTTAGATCCTTCTGTGCATTTTGTAAGATTAAAATTGGACAACATTGTGAAAACATTATGATATTAATGTGAAATGAAGCAGCCGAACAGCATCTAGATGGAGTGGTCTGCAAAACTGAGACTCACTATCAGAAAAACTTCTACTATTTGCTGAAATTGGAAATTACCATTCTCTAACGGTTTGGCTCCAAAGAAAATATGACTGTTTAAGAGAACAACAATAATTGAGATTGACCTGATAAATCGGGTAAGTCTCTGTTTCTTGAACTTGAAATAAAATACTGTGTGAAGGTATAGAAACACAACACCTCTTCTCCATAAGCAAGCAAAGTAGACAAACAGAATGTCCCACAAAGTTTACTGAATGGTTAGATTGAAAAAGCTCGCAAACTATGTACACTAATGTTTACACTCGCGTACACCTTTTGACAAAGTTTTACTTGTCTTTGTTAAAATATATAGTAAGCCAAAAAAGCTGTTTGAGTCTGCGAGTTTCCTTAAACCTCTCTTGAATAACATTCCTGATTCATTAAACAATATTTATTAATTTAGATGGCCAAAGGATATTTTAAAGCAAACAATTGTTTGGGATTGTATTCCTGTCTTTATCAAACTCGAGATATAAAGGTCGACATGCCAATGAGCATGAATCGACCTCACTGTGAAACACTATGCAAAGCCATGTGTTATGGAAGTTGCAAACTGGTTCGGAGAAATTTCGGCTCACATTCAAAGTATAAACTATGTATTTGAAATGAAGTTGGCGACACAACTACTCCATTCAATTAAATTTCTGGCATTTAGATAACATGACAGAGATTTTATAGATCAAATAATTGCTTTGGTACTGTGCAATGCTTATTCGCTTTTTCAAAATTTTTGCAGTTACAGAGAAGACTGATTGTTTGTCTTTTTAGACTAATGTCAAGTGAGGAAGATTCCAGTTGTAGGTTCTTCATGCTAGGCATAGCTTTAGAGAACAGGACGGTTTTAAGTTGCAAATCATCAGGGGCGTAAATTCAGGGTGGTTGATTCTGAGATGCTCCAATTTTGAAAAGTTGCAGGCGCAGATCTAGACCGGGTTGACGGGTTTAAAAAAACCTGCCAGAATTAGTAAATATAGAGAGAGAAATGTTTATCAATATGATTATCATTATCACCCCCCTCACCCTTACCAACCCTTCTCATTATCATACTTGTTATTGCCGGATAATCTGTAAACAGAAAGTACGAGAAGTGACACGCATAAAACTTGAAAATCATCTGACAAAATGCAAAGATTTCCGCCAGGATAATGCTAGGCACAGTGGCGGTTTTAAGGGGAGGTTCAGGGGGCCATGGCCCCAGGCCTCGCGCTTATGGAAGCCAAAAGGGGCCCACACCTAAGAAAAAAGATAGAAATTGTAAATAATAAGGGCCCCGAAGTTTTTTTGGCCCCGGGCCCCGCAGATTTTTTCAACCCTTGGCCCCGCAGTCCCTAGAACCGCCACCGGCTAGGCGGCACCTGACCGTTTTTCTCTATCACTATGCCTCCTAGCAAAAAGAAGCAACGTTTATTTTCGATTATCTTTGTGATGAAAATTCAGCTTGGCAAAAAATTTTATTTATCAAACTACAAGGAAATATCATGAAAAGCCACAGAAGACCCGTAAAGAGAATTAGGCCCACTCAAACAATTTTTCAAACACAACACAAGCCCTAGAAACCCAGAAACATAATGTCAAGATGCAGTATATATAGTGGCCTATTTTAGTAAACCATCTAGAAGAACAGCATTAGAGCCTGTTTCATTTAGCCTAATTTTTGCATGCACTTTGTTTAAGCGTTATTTCTTGTGATCTAATGCACCCCTGACAGTACGTTATTGAAATTACTTTAGATAAAAGTAAGACTATACTTGGAAAATTTAACGAAACAACCGAATTTTCCTGTTATTAGGTTTCTAGGAGCCGAGCCGAGCCAAAGATAACGCCTTTTAATTCTAAGTTTTCCAAGTGAGCATGCCCCAAACCCTCCTTGTACAGTGCCTCTACACGGCATATCTGTATACCGCTTCAAAGCTGTGTTCTTTCTTCCCAAAAGACTTGCGTTGTTAGTTTTGGTGATTGACTGTTAGTCAAGCCAAGAGTTGAGGCAAAAGTTTGATGGAGCTAAACTGAAGTTTTTTAAATTGACTTTTGTAGTAACCTGATAGTCTATTTTATAATAACCTAATATAAATTATCGTTCTGTTTTGTTTGGAACACATGCGCTGTTCTACCTCACTCACATATTAAGAACTTTGTAGCAATGGGCCACGCAAAAGAAGTGAACATTGCACTAAACATGCATGCGAAACAATCATCGACATACTCCTACGCTTACGCACAGTATGCAGTTGATGGAAACAGGAATCCGCAGTTTACAGGTAGATCATGCTCTATGACTGGGTATCAAAAACATGCTTGGTGGAGAGTAGATCTTGGTTGTGAGGCGCGAGTTGCCATGGTGCGCATAACAAACAGAGGGACCAGCTATGGCAGCAGGCTATCGAATTTTGATATACGTGTCAGCAACTATGATGGAACACCAACTGGCTCTCGAGTGTAAGTTGGTTAAATTTTGTAGCCAACTTTGCGTATGTCATTCTCAACAGGCCAATTATTTAACAAAAGCAAGCTGGCCTGTTGATTGAATGATACCCGTGCTAAGACACATACCAAAATTGTTTAATTACTTATTACTTATTATTTATTTGCGCTATATCTACATAAATATTTAGAAATTTGTTTGTTGATATTTCCGTAGCACAGCATGATAAAGTGTGATATTTGATTCACCTTTTGTAACACCTTTTGTACCGACTATGTATTTATACAAGAAAAATTTCAGTATATCAACATCTCCTGAAGAGTTAGTTATTCATGAAACAGGTTTGCAGAGACAAAACGTGTAGTTTGATTTTCTTCAACTCAAAGCCACATATATATTTTTATACATATGGTTTTATGTAGGTATTGTGCAAAAGGCAGTTGACAGGTACTTGCGAACTCCACTTAGCCTTCGCAGTAATAGAGTCTCTTGCTTATTCCGGAACTACTTTGTATTTTGATATTTTGATAAAAGCATTCACACTTATTCACAAAAACAACCCTATATAAGACAATAACGCGTAAAATTTTCTTATTATACACTGAATTGACCAACAGATGTCGGCGATATTATGGTACTATGAATCAAGGATCAACAACTGAAGTGAAATGTAGGCGGCCAAGGGTTGGACGATATGTTTACATCATGTTGAGAGGAACGAATTATCTCACACTCTGCGAAGTAGAGGTTTTTTCAAGAATACCTAAGCGAGGTAATATTTTTGGTTTAGAGAAAACACTTTTTGATCTAATTAAAGTAATTTCTTTTCCGAAAGCATTATTTGCCTTGAAGAATTGGCAAGTTCCAATAAAAGGGGGCAAGATGGTGGATCGTGGATAGGAAATTTTTAAAGTGTTAAGCAATGTGTCTATGTGTATAATGAATTCAAAAGATAGGCTCTTGAGGTGTGACGAGTTCGTTGATAATCACCCTTACATGTGAAGATGTACCATTGATTCGCAAATAGTTCAATAGTAGAGGCCTTTCCAAGGAAGATTAATCGTTTGGATCCACTCTGGCTTATATTTGACAAGAATAAGCATTGAGTTTGAGAAGCATCAACCCACTCTGCAGTGAATACATTAGTTCTTTTATTGAAAAGACGTGAATAAAGAAGTCATTCTTTGTACGTATGCTACATCCTTTTGTCAAATCACTTCCCGCCATTATGAGAATGACTCGCTCTGTGCTTTTTGAGCCTCGTTACAAATATTTTTAAAATGCGTGGTGACATGGAAACCCGTGCCACTTATGTAAAACAAAGCGGCCATGTTTAAAAATATTTTGCATCTAATGTTGACATGAATATGAAATCTTCTAATCTTTTTCTAAGAAATCACTGGAAATCTTGCGTTATTCAAGCCCACTTCACAGTCATCAACATACAGTGGTTACGACTCCGCACGTGCTGTTGATGGAAACAGAAACCCATTGGCGAGCCAGTATTCCTGTTCTATGACTGGCTACAACTTGAACCCGTGGTGGAGAGTTGATCTTAGACAAACGGTCGTTGTTCGCATGGTCAGAATCACCAATCGAAGGGCTAGCTATGGATTAGCTGATTTCACTGTTTTGGTTGGTAGCGAAGATAGAAATCCAAGTGGCAACGAACGGTGAGTCAATTGTTTAAGGAAAAATCCACGCGCAACCGGATACTTTTGAATCTGTAAATTTATTTTTGCGTATAAGGCATCCGTCAGCCCGTATTGGACAAAAAGGATATCATATCCAAACTTTCCGAATTCGCTCTCCAAATTTTGAATTTCACTCGAATCCTGATATATTTTAATACGATAATATAATACTGGCTCGAATGCTTTGTGTGCATGCACTGATAGAAATACTCACAGAGAAACTGTAAAAGCCCACGGGTAATACTTTCGATCCTTACGCATTTTTCGATTGGCTCAGCTTGATCTTAAACTGGGTATACATATTTTCTATCTTGAAGTTCTTGATCATTATAGTGAAGTTTAAAAATTTGAAGTTTTAAAGCTATTTCAAAAATTTTGAACTACCAAAAAAGTAACAACAGACCAACTTCGCCAGCCATTGAGAGTTCATGATTTCGACAAAAATTCCTAAGAATCCAATTTGTGTTAAAACCGATACATAAATCAGCATGAGATGGTAATCAAACTCATTCTGCTCTCTAGATACAATTTAAAATGATAAAATGATGATGTGTTCCAGCTAACATATTAAACTACGATACAAATGCCAGTAACATTTTTTCAATGACTTGATATGACGATCTTGGGTTAATAAAACGAATAGGGCCTATGAATAAGGCTTTATAGTTGTTGATTCAGGCAAATAACTTTTCGCTTGAAAACGAGGACAATGATAATACAGACCCAGCTTCAGTGCCGTCAGCATTAGGGCTAGACCAATGTCAACGGCTGTGCCAGCTGTACGTTAAATTAATCAAAAATCTGAAATGCAACAGTTTTACCGCTAACGGACCCTACCACTGATATTCATCTAGCGACCTGCCCAACCACTAAATTCAATAATGTCTTTTCACTGCAGCTGTATTTTCTACTACGGCGCGGCACCGTTGGGTTCTACATTTGAGTTGCGGTGCACTAATGAAGTAGAGGGCAGATACGTGTACATAATGGAAAATAAAAAGACCTATTTGTCCATCTGTGAAGTGGAGGTGTTCTCTGTAATACCAAATAGTAAGTCATGACCACATTCCTTTGAAAATAATTCTTAATTTTTCGAAAGATTCATACTATTTACATCCTACAACTTTGCTTTATTTACAAAATAAACATTAAATACTGCTTATCTCGAAGAAGAAAGCAGTTCGCCAAAATAAGAGAAAAGAGAACAATATAACAGAACGCTAGTTGGTGTAAGAAACAGGACTGGTCTGAGTTTCTGTTCTAAGTTTCTATTCTGTGTTATACACTGAATGCAATCACCAGGCAACTGTTGATAACAAGCACAGTTGGCTGATGATCACAGTAAACATGAAAGTCGGAGTAGCAACGTGGATCCGTCCTGTTCTATGCACCAAACAGTGTGTACAGCTCGGGCACTTTATGACAGACCGATAAACAGTAATTTTCATAAATTGAAAAAGCAACCAAAAATTGCTTGATTGCAAGTTATACTGCAACCGAAATAACTTATGAAAGTGAAGAGCCTTTCTGCATTGACACAATGAAGTGATGGGACTTTCTCCTAAGCTTCGTTGTCGGAGAACGGGTACCAATTCTGGGTATCTTTGAGCTTAGGATTGTACATGGACAATGGACTCGTTCCTTGTTTACCACTTGATCGTCTATATTTCTTGAGGAAACGACAGTTATTTGTCGATCTTCGATCTACGTTAGTTTCCTTAGGCCAATATAAATTCTGCTCGGAATATTATTTGGATTACATAAAGACAGTTGCTTAACAAGGACATTGATGTTGCCGACAAAACCCCAATTGCTTAGCATAGTTTCTTTATATTAAAGGCTGCAAACCACAATAATCTTGCTAAACTTCTCCCCCTAAACCTTACTAAAACATGAGAAAATGTCATTTTCGACAGACACGAATGGTAACTTGGCATTGTACAAAGATGCAATGCAGTCTAAGAGGTATTCCAGCGGCTATGCAGCACATGCAACAGATGGCAATTTGAATACCATTTCTGGGGGCTTTACTTGCTCTATTAGTGCTTATCAGCAGCATCCATGGTGGAGTGTAGATCTTGGCGCAGTCGAACAAGTTTCGATGGTCAGAATATCGAACAAAGCTTACTACAGGAAATTGCAAAACTTTGATATCAGAGTGAGCAACAAATGTGGTACTCCTACTGGTTCACAGCTGTAAGTAACAGCTAATTTTTAGGGTATTAGCTTAATGCTTATGTTAGGGTCAAAGTTAGGAGGCGATTTTTGATTTTTTCATATTTTGTATATTGTAGGAATTTTTTTGTATATTATATACATAGGCACATAATTTGTAAATAAATGTGCCTAATATATTTAGAAATATGCAACAGTAGCCTATATCAATATATAAGCCTATTCATCGTGTTGAAGAAGCACGATGCATTTTATGAATTTTTATTCTTACTCAAAATTTGCTTCGTTATTCTCCTTTCAAAAAACAAAATTTCATATTTTTTGAAAATTGAATTTTGTGTCATGTTTGTTGTAATTTTTCCTAAAACCCAATTTAATGCCCATGTTTTTTTAAATAAAGACAAAAAAGCACAATTCAAGGCAAATAAAGCCAAATCTATTCATAAGATATTTCATTCATGAATGTTTGACTTTTCATTTACAAAAAAGGTTTTTGTCTCTAAATTTAGATGTTTTGAGCAGTTTGGCATGTTTCCAAATGGTGCTACAGTTGATTACAATTGTGACGAAACCCTTCGTGGTCGTTATGTTTATGTACTGGCTAGAAGCAAGACGTATTTGGAACTCTGTGAAGTTCAGGTGTTCTCAAAACCACCTGTTGAAGGTAGGCAAAAGATAGCCTTGTTAAAATGTTCGGTAGATAGAAGTGAAGAGTACGTAACGTCTCTAGAGGTAAAGGGTATAGAGAAAAGAGACCAGCTGATTCCTATCATTTGTCTTGTTATTTCAGCTCTAGAGCATTATAACTAAACTTAGCATTATCTACGTAGCCGTAACGATAAAGATAACTATAACTATAGCCGTAATCATAACCGCAACCGTAACCGTAGCTATATCCGTAACTACAACCGTAAACATAACCGTAACTACAACCGTCGTTGTTTTGTTTTTTGTCTCCGTGAAACGGCTGCAATCGTGCTGGTTTCTTCATTTTTTCTTTAGATAAATTAGAAATAAAAAACGGCGTACCTGTATTGGTATATGACTCCATGTTGAAGAATTAAACATCCCCAATTCTGAAAATTAAGAACGACGTTCTAATCTAGAATCTCAAAAAAAGTTACAGATACAACAGATGAAAAATGAAAATTATAGATCAATGTTTCAAATGTTCCCTGCAAGTTTTATCATTTATTTATAAAAAAGTTACAAAACCTAAAACCAGCAACAATATCTCAGGTGAAGGCATCACAAAAACAAAGTCCGAGTAATTATTCTAATCTGACCTTCTCTTGACGTTATCGCTTTTGCTTATTACTGAGTTACCATCATTTGCCTTATGTTGCTACGGTTCTGACGTCTTGCGTTCTGTCAGTCTTGGTCTGTTTAGCTATTACCTTGCTTTCATATAAGCAAATTTTCATTTTTAAGTTTATCTGCTGGTTTTTCACATTTCTATTCTGTTTTTCTCATATACGAAGGTCCATACACCAACTTAGCAAGGTACAAAAACACAAAGCAATCATCTACGTATTCCACTGGATATGCAGCGCGTGCTGTTGATGGGAACAGAAATCCAGCTTGGAGCGCTGGGTCATGCTCCATAACTGGCCACCAAAATCATGCGTGGTGGAGAGTTGATTTGAACAGACCAAGAACAATATCAACCGTGCGCATTACAAACAGAGGGGATGGCGTTGGGTACAGACTTTGCAATTTTGACGTGCGAATTGGAAATGTTGATGGAAATCCTTACGCTAACTCAATGTGAGTGATTTACTATCAATTCTGTAGTTATATTGGCCACGTCTAGCAATACTGTTTACTTTTCATTCCTTCAATTTCCACTGTAATCCATAATGGCCTCTCTATAACTTGTTGAGATATACCCTTACCCCGTTTTATGTTGTCCCTTCCTATCCATACCCATCTAGCTCGGAAATGCTTAAATGACTTGCATCGAGCCTGAAACTTTCAAATAAAGATGAAAGTACTGTTGATAGGTTTCAATGGAGTACCTTGCATGGTAAGCCAACTCTACATGGATTCTGTAGCAGTAAAGATATATTAATTAATGTTTGATTTAATCATCAGATGTGCAACATTCAATAGAATAGCGGGTGATGGTGAAATCATTACATTGAACTGCTTAAGACGTACCACAGGCCGCTATGTCTACGTTGTGCTGAGGGGGACAAATTACCTGCAACTCTGCGAAGTAGAGGTGTTCTCAAGGCGCCCACGAGAAGGTAATTTAATTTTGTTAAATTGCTGTCTATGAAAAGGTAAAATGACAACGTCATTAGAACCTATTCTTAGAATCTTACAAATTGATCGCATGAGCAGAATGAAAAACATTAAAATGTCTCTAGATTTTACTTTGAAGCTGGCATTTTGATGTGATAGATAAGTTTAAGGGGCCTTAAGCCTGTATGATATATTATCATTTTATGTTTTGTCAATATCATTTTACAAATGCTTATAGCTGGAGGGGGAAGCTGAAATATTTCTTGGGCCCCCGGCTGCTTTTGTTACGCCACTGCCTCTTGATGTAAACAATCACTCAAACCTGCAAAGGATTTTAAGAGATATGGCCAATTACAGATTTGTAATTTGCTAATAAGTTACTTTTGCTTTGCCTTCGTTATTAACGGACAACTACGTTTTAGAACAACAGTCAAATTGCAGTGGTTTGATAGGGAAGTAGCTTGTGGTAATGTGGCAATATCTTTTGAAACTTGTAACAGATCTAGCTGATTTTGCACCTTCAAAGAATTTTCTTTCCGGCTATTCGCTCAAATACAAAATTTCTAATAATAGACAGGGGAGAACATGGTGCATGGACCAAGCATCAATCTAATAGATCTTTGTTAATATGTCCAGAAAGGAACAAAAAAAGTAAAGGGGTTGCAGTGCTGGCAAGGGCAAGAATTGGAGCAGCATAAGAAATTGGAGGCAAATGATTTCGGTTTCAATAACGAGTTTGCAAAGTCACTACCCATTGTTGCCAATATGCAAGTCTTAAACTTAGGCCTTGAGAAAAAGACAAATTTACTTGCTAGAAAGAGCTAATGAACAATGAATTACTAGGATATCATCGCAAGGGTAATACAGAAGTAGATAAAAAGGCTAGTAGGAGTTGCAAACAAAGTGTAAGTAGTACGACATTGGCTGTTATCAACATTAAGCAATCAGACACTACCTTTCGAGGCAAACCCCAAAAGTTTGAGACAAAGGTTAATATAATGAAAGTGGGGAAGGTGTATCATAATGATGAAAAAACCCTATAAAAGACAGGAGATATCACATTTGTGCAAAAACGAGATAGAAGCCGCAGATTTTTTCGAGAAAATACGGTAGGTGCTTGCTTCATAGCCTCTTTATTGAGGCTTTGCTTGATAGCTTATATAATCACACATTGAGCTAAAGCAGATTGGACCTCATTCGATTTGCATATGTTCAGGCCTCGGTATGAAGTTCACCGCCCCGTTCTCAGTTTAGACTTAACAGAATGATAAAACTACATCGAATCATGAATTTAGCTTACGAGCTCCAACTCTTATTATATTTTAAGATAAGTTTCAAAATTAACAATAACATTAAAAGCAAAATGAAATTCAATTGCAACACGCAAACAATGGTAAAAGTTTGACACAAAGCTAGAACTGAAATATCAAACTGCAGACGGAAGATTTCGCATATGAATTTGAGTTACGACAAGACTCGGCTGTAACTAAGTCTGATCACATTTTTAAAACAGAGGTCTTTCAAAACAGAGAAACTTTTTTTGATGGAGATGTAAATTTATGGAAAGCAAAAGTCTTAAATACATTCTGTAATAAAGAATATAGTTAAAGAAATTTCAATACTTGAAAAATGTTAGTAGGCAGACATTCAAAAACATAGGAATTACCCTTTAATTGCATATTCGGAAACTTCACTTTAAAAGTGATCTTAAATAGATTTTCATCAAAATTTTACCCAACGACTGCATTTGTGATCATGAGGGTAAATTTACAAATAAATCTCTAAATAAATCTAAAAGGGGGGTTGCATACGAATCTCCTCGATTCTAACTCCACTTTTACGACCGGCTGATAAGAGCAAGCTTGCAGTGTGTATGGTAAGCACAATTGCAAACCTATTTTCTAAAGCTTCCATCTTACAAATTCGAACGGAATAATTTCGTTTGGAAAGTGTTTAAATTTTCTCAAATTAAGTGTAAAGATTCTTAAACACATCTATCTTAAAGAGGAGATCATGACCGCACCCATGCATCTTCTGTAAAAGGAGGTATGGTCCAAATTTTCACCTCACTATTTTCGAAAACATTTTTGACATTTCTTTTCTAACATAATGCTAGAATCGCTCTGCAAAACATTATGTTTCATTTTTTTGATATCATGAAATTGATCAAGGGTATTGAAACCTCTTCTACTAATGCCAGAAAAGCCCTTTTCTCCCTTGAGCAGGTGTTCTTCAGAAATACCTTGCAAGAACCTCAATTCCTTTTTCCATAACATTAGCCCTCTGGCAACATCCGTTTAATAAGGAAAGCATTCTTATGTATGCTAGCCTATGAATTTTTTGCAAAGCAAATCATTATAATTTTGTTTCTTGTAGCTGCAAATGGTAACTTAGCAAGGAATCGGTACACTAAACAGATCTCCAGATACAGTTATGGCTATGCATACCACGCTGTTGATGGAAATAAGAACCCAGTTTGGAGTGGCAAATCGTGCACATCAACGAGTTATAAATACAAGCCATGGTGGATGGTTGACCTTGGCGCATCAAAGGTTGTTCGAGTTGTTAAAATCACAAATCGAGGTGCGGGCGGCGGAATTTACCTAAAAGATTTTGACGTTCTTGTTGGGAATCATGCAACTCCTGCGTCGAACGCTCGGTAAGTAAAGAAAAACTGCTCACAATAATTTTTGCCGAAAATCCATATTCATATTGGACGACATAAATACAAAGCTATTGTTAAAGGCATTAAGTCATGATAAAATGGATTGGGTATACCCTAAGTGCCAAAATCCGCTGAGTCATGATTTTCATGACTGCGATGCTATTGGTTGACCTTGAACTGGTCACATGAACTCACCTCGTACTGATTGACAAAACAATTATCATCAATAGCAAGTTGTCAACAACGGATGCCAATATCACATGAAACAGCAGCGATCACGCCGAAACCAAATGCCCCCTTATAGAGAAGGCCTATTTACCATGACTCAATGCCTTTAACACTGAAAGAGGCATTTTGCGCAGTGGTTTCTATTTTCTAAACGTGCTCTACAACTAGTATCGTAGTCAGGGTGGTAAGATCGAGGAGGGAGAGGGTTGGGAAGGCGAGTTGATCCATGAAGAAAATATGGTTCACAAACGTTTAAACACCAGGAAACGTCCTTTTTCAGAGAGATTTTCTGTCATTAGGGAAGTGCATACCCCCTCTTGCCTCCACCTTACTATGTTACTGCCTACAACATATTGTTGGCTTAACCATTGCACTAATAGGACCTTCTTCCTTTAAACAGTCAGTAATTAATATAACATGGTGTTCTTCCCCCATATATAAACGCATTTTTTTCTTCAAAAAAGTTCACAATTTGCTCGTTCTTTTTCTTCAAAATAAATTTTGCTGATGAAATTTTTCAGAACTTTAATTCAATATGAAATTAATAACTGAAATTAGAAAAAATACATCGCCATGGATCTTGGACCTTGTAAACGACAGTAAAATAGCTGTTTTTATTGATTAAGAAGGGACTCAGTACAGAGCTTTGAGAAACACCACAAATACGCACCTGTAAACGACTCGTCAAATTTACGTTTTGCTATAAAATTTTAATGTGATTGAGGTGCATATTTTGAGAATACTTTGATTTATTTTTAAGGTGTTACTACTACCACGGGAAAGTGCCAGATGGACAGACAATTGAGATACACTGCACAAGAGCAAGGAATGGAAGATATGTTTTCATCAGGCTGAGAGGCTGGGGATATTTGCAGATATGTGAAGTTGAAGTCTACTCGCGTATCAAGAGAGGTAACGCAGACCATCTGATCGAAGTCTCTTGTTGCTTAGACAAAATTTTTTTTCGACGATAAAGATCTGTTTGTATCAATGATAAGGATCTACGTAGAAGTTTTTGGGAAAAAAATTCCTTATTACCACGGAAAAATTCTTAGCTTTGACTTCTGTTATAAAGTCATTTTTGTGTTGTCGTCTATGCTGATATATAAATTTTATTAAGCGACCACCAAGAAAATTTAAGTTTTAGTACCACCAGGATGCCTAAGCAACTTGCAAGAATCTCATTCATCGATTTTCATCGCTGTTTGTGGGTCATGCCTGAATTGCAGTGACCTTAGGGTTATTTGTAAAACCATCCGTTTAACTAAGGCCATTCTTATGATGACATCTAAGTACATGATATAGTACTTAGGTTGGACTGATGACGTCACTAATCATTTTTTCTGGCGTATAGTTACACGTAGATGCCTCAACGGGAGCAGCTGGAACTCACAGCACACGAACTATTCGAGACGAAGGTCTTACGCAAGACGCAGGTCATACGCAAGACGCAGGTCATACGCAAGACGCAGGTCTTATGCTCGACGCAGATACTACGCAAGACGAAGATATGGAAAGTGATGCACGGGTGAGATTATTATAAAAAATTTGTCACAAACTTGTATTTTTTCAAGAAAAAATAGCAGCTCACATCCAGATGCAGATCGAAAATAAAATGAAAGGATAAAAGCAATTTTTTAGTTGTCCGACGTGTATACCCTTCGAGTTACGAATGAGATATACTTCAATGTGACAAGCCTCCGCCTTTCTTTGCTGCTTTCAGATTTTATGGTACCAATGGCTTATCAGATAATACATTTTCTTGCATTAAGGTATCAAAATGTTCAAAAACATCAGAAACACTAGTAAATATCACATCTATGGAATTGCATGATAAGTCGCTGAACTGTTCCAATTTTTTCTAGAAGAAGAAATTCTTCTCCAAAGGGAACCGTAATCACATTTTCATAAGCTTTATGTCAAATGAAAAGTTTCAAATCTTCAACATACATATTGCTAATCTTTGTCATTTTTTCTTTCAGGCATCTTACGGATGAACAGTCTGTGTAGGTTAGCTAACATTTGCACAAATATTTAGTGGGTTTAGTTTTTTATGCTTTTTCTAAAGCTGTTAAGGATGTACCATGACCAAGTAGTTAATTGAGGTTAGGCTGACGATTCTTTATTGCTATTTTAGGAAACAGAAATCTTTAAATATCATGTATGATTCTCCTGCTTATGCATCTCAGAAAACAAAAAGTTGTGGTGCCACCCCTAAAATTATGCAAGTATTTGGCATTGGCTAAAAGACGTAAGCTCTGTACAAAAATTTGCACAACACCCTTTTTGGACATTTCTTATCGGTTTCGCTACTATTATTACCAAATGACCAAGTGTCAGAAAAAAAAGAGCCAAGAATAAGTTGTCTTTTGATTGAACCAACTGAAAAATTACGAGTCCGTAACAGCTTTCAGACTCCTTTTGTTTTAAATGCATTTTTTTTTTCTATCAGCATTTTGTACTTTTGGTTTTGTATCTTAGCGGGTTTTTATTATTGCATTTTTTTAAATAAGCATTGAAGAAAAAATGGTTTTTGTATTTATGTCTGACTGCAATAAGAGACGCCATCAAATGAAGTCAGGGGATGTTTGAAATTCAAGAAAAGAAAAATGATGTAATTCAGAAAAGTATCTCACAGAAAGAAACATCCTCTTTGCTGATTAATTTCAAACATGTTTGCACAGAATGTTCTTATCAAAGACCCTGATATAAAACAATATGATTTAACTTTGTACTTCCATAGTTAAGAAGACAGCATTGCTTTACTGTGAAAAAGGGGTGCAAATTAAATTTGGACAAACTTCAGACAATATTTAGACTCTAGAGGTTTCTTGAAATCCTTTCCCACAACTATAAGCTTGAGATCATTAATTCGGGAATAAGGGCATGATGGCCATCGCTAACGGCAAAAGGCACTTAAAAAATGCCTCTTGTTTCAAATCTGTGTATAGTTGCATTACAAGTACAAACAATACAAGCACAGTTTTAGCAGGTTTAATATAGAGAAAAGCCGTGCACAACATATTTCATTATCACTTTGAGCAAACTTGAGTTATCCAGTAGCAAAATCTGCCAAAACATTCTGGGAAGAAAAGTTTTTGAAGAATTGCCAACCTAGTATTAGGCATATCACATTCTGAATATGTAAAAATAAATATGAAACATACACAGTTTTTAAATGCAAAGATTGACAGGGCAGGCTGCGTGAATGAGTCTTCTCTTTACTAAAACTATGCCCTTTAAAGATGTTTCGCACAAAATAATAAAATTATGTATAAAATAGAAAATAATGTATTGCCAAAGATTGGTTTTTGTTAGACCCTGGTGTTTTATTTTTTGCTAGTATTCATTTTGTGGCATCCCCGCTAGCCCAATAACAATACTCTGTTTTCATAGAACTGGGCCTAAGTCTTCGCGCAGCCTTTCACGACCGTAGAGAAAATCAAAACTTACCAAGAATCCGTTGAAATTGATTGTGCTAGTTTAGCAACATGTAAAGAACTGTTTTGTTAGCTTCCTTTCAGAATGCCTCTCAGTCAAACGGAATTTCTTGCAAACATTGCAAACTGTCTATGCCTAGAAAACTGGAAGTTTGTTCGCTAGGTCCATAGTATAAATGAACCACGAACAAATATTTTGTTCAATGAAGTGCCAAAGAACGCATTTTAAATTCCCTTGACAATAGATAACACAGGATTCAATGCACTGAGCAAAGAAAGCTAGATTCCTATAGGACCTTTACTGTATGTCTTTTGCCTTTGGGATTTTGGAATAGCGACGATCACATCAAAAGACTTTGTTAACAATGAACTCCCTGAAGAGAGCAAATCTCGAGGTTTGGATAACAAGGATGAAAAATGTTTTGAGCCAATCAGACTGTTTGTTTACAATTTGAACCAGCCAATGGTATAGCGTCAAAGACAATGGAAATCTGAAGAGAAAATAACATCGAATCAGCCGCAACAGTAACGCTCGCACCTCCTATCCAAAGCTGTGGGGAAAAACCGGCGCCACAAAAAGTTAACGCTGAACGCGAAAATTGTCATTATTGAAGTGCTTCATACAATTATGCATAGCAAAGGAGTATATCTAAAACTTTGCCGTCCCCATTTTTGAAATTCGGTCGTTAACCAGAGATAAGCGATGAACCGTTTAGCCCATTATTGCCCTGATTGAATCTGCTTACGTTGGTTATGGTTGGTTGTACTCCAAGAAAACGGCATCATGTCATTTTATTGAATAACAGGTCATTTTGAAATCTTTTTACAGGTCGTTGATAAAATTGATGAAAAGTTGTGCACATTTTACTTGTTATTTCAAAAATTGCTTGTTTAAAAATTTGTAAAGTAAAATTTGAAACCTCTGCATGACCTGCAAAAGTTTGAATCAAACCTTCAACTGAAAAAGCTATTGAGATATAACAAGCTACATTTTTTGAGTTCTCATTATCTTATTGGAATACAACGATCAGGGTCATTATTGAGCTTATATTTTGTAAAGTGGTACATTCTCCAACTCTTTTTAATGAAACTTTGCAAAAATATTTGAATATATTGACATGCAAAGTTGGGAAACCTTGAACCTTTCACTCAACAAAGATGCTCTACATTTTACAGTAAAGAAGAATACAATTCTTGAACCCTCAAGCACTTCGTAAGTACTTCTGAGTTTTTTTCTAAATGAATCCGTACTTAAGTCACTAAAAAAACCAGGGGATTTATTTCAGTGGAGACAGATAGCGTGGGCCGTTGCGTGCTTGGAGAAAACATTTTATCGTTTACTGTCTAACGTTTTGAAGCCTTTATAACAATTCGTGTCCAGAAAATTCGTTGACAAATCGTCCTAAAAAACTTTGCCACGAGAAGAACCATTGCTTGCACCTACAAAAATACCAAAATCAGGAATAGGCATATGATTTTGGAATAAATATTTGCAACAATGCCGCTATTTTCTCAAGATATGCATTTCTTCTATACGCAACACTCAATGAAAGAAAGTTGACGGACTGTCTTAGGGTTAAGGATATGCAAGAAAAAGGCAGAATGAAGGGAAAAAACCCGAGTTTGATAATCATCTCTCCGTCTTACTTTAAAATATACGACGTACATACTTTGTAAGTAAAAAATGACCTGTTATTCAATAAAATGACATGATGCCGTTTTCTTGGAGTACAACCAACCATAACCAACGTAAGCAGATTCAATCAGGGCAATAATGGGTTAAACGTTTCATCGCTTATCTCTGGTTAACGACCGAATTTCAAAAATGGGGACGGCAAAGTTTTAGATATACTCCTTTGCTATGCATAATTGTATGAAGCACTTCAATAATGACAATTTTCGCGTTCAGCGTTAACTTTTTGTGGCGCCGGTTTTTCCCCACAGCTTTGGATAGGAGTTGCGAGCGTTACTGTTGCGGCTGATTCGATGCTATTTTCTCTTCAGATTTCTATTGTCTTTGACGCTATACCATTGGCTGGTTCAAATTGTAAACAAACAGTCTGATTGGCTCAAAATATTTTTCATCCTTGTTGGTTTGGATTGAATTAATGTTCTTGATTATGCATTGTGTTTTTATTGAGTTACGTGAATATTGTTTCTGTGCTTAAACAAAAGCGATAGTATTTCCTGCTCGTTATTCTAAAGGTTGCAAAATTTAGTAAACTTAGTCTCTATACGTAAAGTGCAAAGTCAAGAAGACATATCATAAATTTAAAGCACAAATTAAAAGTTGGCATCTTTTGTTTTTAATCCCAACCCCAATTTTGGTGACCATGTCCTTTGGATTACCTTGAAATTCATTTCAGAATAATTTTGCAGTCCCCCCCTTGCAAATGGGTTGAGGTTGGGGTTTGGGTTGGGGTTTTGGGCACTTACAGGCAATTACACGGGCAGCCCATGCGTTACACTCGAGAACACATGTAACAACCACAGTATCAGCTTTTTTCCAATGATTACCGTAGAATCAAAATCCTTATCGATAACATCTTGGAAGAATCTACAATCCCTGTCAAAAATCCTGCTGGAAATGCTCTATCCTAATCCTAATCGACAATGTTCTATTTATATCTGGTATTCCTTTGTTATTCATTTTTTTAACAGAAATTAGGATCTTAATACACTAAGCCCTGAGTGACATTTATCTGCCCAAAAATGCGTAATTTTCCCGCTTCTTCAAAGGAACCAAAGCCTTTACAAACTTAGATGCTGTCCCTAGAAAAAGCTATGGAGCAAGACTTAGATCTAAATGGGTCATGTTCTTTTTCAAAGGATAGATTTCGGTTGAATCTATAAAAGGAACAATCCAGAAGGAAATTGATATTGATGAATATAAAATGGTGGTTTTCTACTAATGGACCCGTTAAAACCCACTTTGGTTAATATTGCATCAAATATAATGCCTGCAAATAACGTTTTTGTTAACTTATCAAATTTGTGAATATTTTAAACTTGAATCCCTTCCTCCAAACAATTTTGCTTTATGCAAAGCTTAGAAGTTTGGTGGGGTTTAATTGATTTCTTTCAGAAAGCCATTCATTTAGCATTACAACCAACATTGTTGTGAGGAAGTGGGGTAGCGGTGTCGGTATTTCTTTACGGGAAACAGTTAGTTTCTCTTAAAACAATACTTGAGCAACTGGATGTTCTAGTTTTCATCTCATATTTCGTTTTATTCTGTTTAAAAGACAAGGGACAATGACAGCGAAGAATTATCGAAATGACCTTACTAAGAGAAATATATTCTATGATAACACAGGCTCCTCCCGTTCTGTTATTCTTAAGTAGTATCTAGCTCAAAAAAAGAAATGTCATTTGTGACAATTAAAAAATCTAGCAAGATTTGGAACAAATTTTTCAAGTTATGCAGCTGGCAAAACAAGAAAATCAACGTAGTTTGTAGTACAACGGCCAAAAGATGCATGATGTCATACTGGTGAAGCAAGTATAAACATAGTCACCCATTTACTGCAATAAAGGAATTGTCTAAGGAACAAATTGTAACAAATTTATTGCAAATATTAACGAAACATGACTGAAAACAAAGCTCTATTTGCTTTGTCCCTTAATCTTGTGTGTTACAAAGTGAAGATCTTGTGTGTAAATAGTTGCTATATGGTACATTATTTTAGTATAGAATATACAAATTACACAATCAATATGTTAATTTTTCCTGTCTACACTGCTCAAAACAATCAAGAAAATTACTTGAAACACAGAAATGATTAAATCACAGTATTCATGCATTTTTTAAAAAAAAATTCATAAAATTAAACTACAAGACTGCGGAAAGATGCAGAAAGAAGCCACTTTTTTGTAAGAATCTAAGAACTTCTTCGTGTAACTGGGATTTCAAAAAACTTAAAAAAGAACAAAACACGATGTTGCTGATGGAGTTTTCTGCCTTTTTTTCTACACAAGAGCTAAAACAAAACCAACTCGGATAATAAATAGGCTCAAGTGCAATTTGTGGAAAAAGCTCAGCACATTTCCTTTCCAAAAGTTAGATGGTCAAAGCAACAATCTGTTTAAAACCATAGAGACATTTATTCTGCAAAAATTTGCTGTTTCGAATCAGAATACTTACTTTTTCAGAAGGGGTTTCAAATACTAAGAAAGTAAGAATTCAAGTAAAGAAATAAGAAAGAAGGCGAATTTGTAGTGCTTAAGCTTAAAAAAAGGAAATTATCCATTGCTCAAGGGAAGCCATTCTTTCATTTTCCCAAAAGGCCGAGGTAATTAGTGGAACCCTACCTAAAAGTGGTACCTTAGCAAGTGAATTTGGTTAACACCGAAATATCTCAAAGGTGATTTTTTATCTAGTCAACTGATCTGGCTAATAATCTTTAGCTACAGGCACCGCGGAGCGTTGGTGGAGGGCTAAAACCGACTAAAGAGAGGCTTTACTGGTAGTTTGTTAATTAACTTGTTAATTAGGCCCCCCCCCCCTTCCCCCTACTCTGCAGTGTCTGAGCAAAAACCACTCTTTCAAGTTCACGCCTTCGAGCATTGCAGCTGGCTCTCATAGCCTATTCACAAAACGATACTCGAAGCTACAGACCCTTTCCTGCCAGACTGTCTAGTTTTATTGTATCGTGACGATAAGATTCAATTTCCTAGACAAGTGGCAGACTCAGAGAAATACGAGGCAGGCTATGGTAACAGATAGATATATTAGAATAACAAAAAAGGTTAAATTTTATAAAAAGCAAAAAAATCAGACTTTACTTTTTTATACCATGAACTTTATATATTGAAGTTTGCTACTGAAACAGGGGTTATTCAAAGAAAAATTCACGACACCAGAAATTAAAGTACTGGTAATTTTTTGTAAAGCATTAAAATTGTACTGAATAAAGGGACCGAAACAACGGTAGAACGAAAACAACTGATCTCACAGTCTGTCGTTTGATTGCATTGATAACATTGGCATTGGAGACAGAAAATATTTACAGGGAATAGAGGGTGGTGTGATAGATAAGGATGAAAGGAAGAAAAACAGCCAAGATCAAAGGCTAAAGTGTTTTAGGTTAAGGAATGAATGACTATTTAGTATAATTCTTCTTTAACTTTAAGCTTTTGTTTTGATCTGCTGTTTGAATTTGACTTTCTTTTTGTTTTCCCGACGGTTTCTACATGCTCTGAAAAATTATTCAAGATGCTTGATTTTTACAGCATCACAAAATTGAAATCACTTTCACATTTTTTTATAACACCTCTGGAGAGACCATTATGGAATAAAGATCGTATTGACCTTTTTAATGCTATTCCTGCCATTTTTTAACCTGGGGTGTTTTTAGTAAATTTTATATATCTGTAATCAGATCTTTTTCTTTCTCTTAATTTTAAATTGTAATTTATTTGATGACAAAATTAAACATACATACACCATAAATAAGATTCACAATTCCACAAAACGGCAACAAAACCATTTTAGAATAACCCCTGTACTGAAAGATATAAGTAAGGTTTCATTTCCAGGTGCCGTGCATTTTAATCTATGACTGAACATTGCTATGAATCAGGGAAATGGCGAATTGATCTTCGAATTAGTATTCACCATTTTGTTCCTAATCAAAAAAACCCGGTACATAAAAGCCTGTGCATTATAACTCAGTCCATTAAAACCCTATGTACAGTTGACATCCGCTATCTCGACTGCCCGCTATCTCGAACATTCGCTATTTCAAACCAATTTCTGTTTCTCTTGGTTTTGCTACGGGGGTACGTATAGAAAAACCGTTTGCTATCTCGACTGCTCGCTATTCGTTATGTCGAACCGTTTTCTGCTTCCCTTGGACCAAAAGTGTTCGCTATCTCGAACTTTTTTGTTTTAAGTTATGTGAGAAAATTAAAAATACGTGTAAAATATCTGTTTAAACGGCAGATGACAGTTAACAGATTAAAAAGACAGTTTTATAATACAATTTAAATGTTTTATTAAGTTAGTGATAACTGTTCTAGCAGTCTGACAATAGAACGTTTTGACCCTTCTATTATCAATGTGCAAGGGACCTGCATGCCATCACCATCACCTAAGTTTACAGGTTTCTCTTTCAAAACTGCATGACAATAACTGTACTGATCAGCTCTCAAGAAAAAAAGATTGTTTTCGCAAATTTCTCATTTTCCCTTTCGTAGTAGACCGACAACGTCATTGATTTTTGAAACGCAAACGGCATACTTATCCATAATATAATCAGGTTCTATTGCAGTTCTAAGTTTTTCGCCAATCTCCTGTCACAGTACAAACTTTAAGATATTTATAATGCAGATGAGTTTGGGCTGTTCTATCAGTGTATGCCTGACAAGTCAATGCATTTGAAGTCTGAAGCTTGCATTGGAGGTAAGCACAGCACAGCAAAGTCCACCTGACTGGAATGGCAGATCCAGTGGTATTGGAGAATGCTTCTCATGTTTGTAATTGAAAAATAAAAAGAAGCCAAGATGCTTCAATGAGATTAGGTCTTTGCCATACCGTTATAGACATCAGAAAAAAAGCTGGATGAGTGGTGAGTTGTTTCAAGAATGGGTAGAAGTACTGGACAACAAATTTCTGGCACAGAAACGAAAGGTTGCTCTTGTTGTCGACAACTGTCCACCACATCCAGAAGTAGAAAACCTGAAAGCAATCAAGCTTGTGTTTCTGCCGCAAAACACAACATCTAAGACATAGCCAATGGATCAAGGGGTAATCCGAAGTTTAAAGGCAAAGAACCGAACAGTTTTGGTGCAGAAATACATCAGAGCAATTGATCAACAAAAGTACCAAAAATTAGCATTTTGGATGCAAAGGACACATTAGCTGCATCGTGGTCTATGGTATCTGAAACGACAATCGTTAACTGCTTTGCCAAAGCTGGCCTTTCTTCCGAAAATCAACATCAAGCAGCATCAGATGAAGATGGCCCTTTTGAAAACTTGGTGAAAGCATTGACGAAACTGCAAAGAAGAGTTCAAGAAATTGCTCCAGAAAAAACAAATGCAGAGGAATTTATTGACTGCGACGACCAAGTCTTAGCAAGAGCAGCATTGACAACTGAAGATGATATCATAGCTGAGCTAATTGGTAAAGAAGTTGTTGAAGTTGAGGACAGCCAAGAAGACAGCCAAGAGGACAGCCAAGAAAGCAACGACAACCCTTTGACAAAGCCAACAACGGACAAAATAAGAGATGCGATAGAGGTAATATCAAGATATTGCCTATTCTCAGAGAATGGAGAAGTGCTCCGTGAGCATTTCGTTAAAATAAATGGTGTTATAGAGAAGGAACTGGTTAGAAAGAGAAAACAAATGACATTAGATGCTTATTTTTCTCAATGATTTAGTTTGACTTGTAATTTTGTATTAGTGACTACATATCCTTTATTGCTGCCTGTTAAAACTTCCAAATATGAAAAAATTGGATTTTTCGGGGTCATCCGATAACTCGAACATTCGCTTTCTCGAACAACTTTCCGTTTCCCTTCAGAGTTCGAGATAGCGGATGTCAAATGTATATTAAAAACCCGGTGCACTAAAGCCCAGTTAATTTAAACCCGGTCCATAATAGCCCGGTACATACACGGTGCTTAATAAATATGTAGCTCAAGTGCATCTGCAGAGTCGCTGCCTTTCATGATGCTTGGCTGCACAATCGATATTGACTGGAACTCTAGCAAACCCATAGCAAATACCCGTAGATGGCAAGTAGAAAGGATCTTCTTTGTTCTGGTAGTAGGCAGACAATACGTCGGATGCTGTTCTTGGGTATTTGCAAACAGTCCCGGCCATTTTAAACATGTAAACTGAGTTGAGCGTGTTGATTGCTGGATTACAGGATTTCCCCAAGCCTGCGCATGTTTCTGAACAAGAAGCATTCAACGATCCGACTTTGTATTCTTCAGCTAGATAATTAAGATGTTCGTATGTAAATTATTGAAACAAAGGGGGAGGAGCGGGGAGAGGAAGGGAGGGAGAGGAGGGGAAGGTTGAGGAGGGGAGGGGAAGGTTGAGGAGAGGAGGGAAAGGTTGAAGGAGAGAAGGGCGGGGAGAGGAGAGAATGGGAGGGGAGGGGAAGGGAAGGAAAAGGAGAGAAAAGAAGGGGAGAAGAGGGGAAGGAGGGGAGAGGAGGGGTGGAGGGGTAGAGGAGCAAAGAGGTCTGAGGTCTTACAGGGGGGAAGGGATGAAGCGGTGGAAGGGCGGAGGAGTGGATAGGTATTATAGGTCGTAATCGTAGATGTTTCGAAATATTTAACCTTTTTCTATTCATTTGAATTATAATGCTCCTCCTGTTTAACAAAGAATCAATTTAAATTTTAAAATAAAGTTATCAATCAAAATAAACTTATAATGATTAATATCTATTGACTATACGATTACTCATGTGACAAGGTAGGGAGGGGTGGAAGGGGTGAGATGAAGAGGGTCTTCAAGCAGAGAGGATGGAGGGGGAGGAGGAAGCGGAGAGGATGGAGGAGGCAGAGTAAGTGGAGTAATTGGAGAAGACAGAGAGAGCAGAGGGGGTGGAGGGGGCGGAGGAAGTGGAGAGGGCAGAAAGAGCGAATGCAGAAAGGAAATATGTTTGAAATGTTGACATATTTTTCAAGAAGATTTTGGACATTTAATTCGCTAACCACCGGTCAAATGTGGTACAAAGGGTGTAGGGCAGCAACAGCTTGACCATTGTCAAATGACTAGAAACATCCAAAAACCAGTAGAATACAAAAATAGCTTTTTTAGGCACCTGCCAGACAGACTACTGATTAATTCCCCCTAGCCATAAAATAGGATGAGTTTTTAATTTCAAGAAAAGAAGAAATCAGCCTTAGCCTAATAATTATTTCTTCTCTTATCCATATTCATGTCTATTCCACTATAAAGAAAGTGTGCTAACGTAATAGAACAAGATTCAAACAAAATAATCACTATGCGAAAGGGTTGACAGAAGACACGAACTAAAAAGTAGGGCTGATTTAGGACCGAGATAGACGGATATGACCATTAATAAACATTCATACAATCCACAAGGCCTGATAATGGGAGAACCCTTTACAAATATTTCATTTTTTCGTTTTAAATTCTTTATACACAAAAATCCCTTCAGCTTACAACTAAATACCAAACAAGAAAATAAATACCCTGGTTACATTAGTATAATTTATATACAGTTAAAGCTAAATTATGCACAGTAATCTTTCTTATAGCAGCTGCTCCTCCAGGGAGTCGTGTTTTATCTTGTGTTCACCTCGTATAATAGCTTTTCAATTGCTTTTTTAATTTACTAAATGTAGAGAGCTCTCTGATATTGATGGGAATATCGTTCTAGGCTTTCAGAGCCGAATAGTGAAAGCCTTTCTTGACGTCATCATCATCATTAGCCTGTCACACCACTGCTGGCGGATGGCCTCCACATCTTTCTCCACTCATCACGGTTTTGGGCACTCTGGGTCCACGTGCTGCCTGCCTTCTGCTCGATCTCATCTCTCCATCTTCTCTTTGGTTTTCCCTTTCCTCTCTTCCTGTCCCACGGAGTCCATTCTGTCGTTTTCTTAGCCCATTCGTGGTTCTTCATTCGTGCTACATGTCCTGCCTACTTGCCTTTGGCTTCAATCACTTTCTCGATGACATCCTTCACCCCTGTTCTTGATCTTAAGTCTTCGTTCCTGATCTTATCTCTCCTCGTAACACCCAGCATTGATCGTTCCATGCTCCTCTGGGTGACTGCCAGTTTCTCTCTATGGCGGTTGGTAAGTGACCATGTCTCAGCTCCATACGTCATTGATGGCAGTATGACAGTGTTCATGACCTTCCTTTTGAGACACATGGGCATTCTTTGATCTCTCAGAAACGTGCTGTACTGTCCGAATCTCTTCCAAGCAGATGTTACTCTCTCGTCTATTTCTTTCGCCATCTCATTTCCTGGTGTTAGCAGTCTTCCCAAGTACTTGTACTCATCCACCTCCTCCAGTTGTTCTCCATCCACAATTATTCCTTTCCTTCTCCTTTTCCTAGCTATTTCATTGCACATGATTTTCGTTTTCTTTCTGTTCATTTTCTTTCTTGACGTATTCAAGGTTATTTCTTGGGATTTGTATATCCCTGCAGTTCCTTGTTCTGTAGTTGGAGTGCTGGGTCCTATGATGATATTGATCCCAAAGGCTTTCGGGACATTGTCTGCTGATTATTTTGTATGTCATAACTGATCGATCGAACTTTGTTAGTTGCTCAACGGTCAGCCAGTTATGAGACCAGTTGTCTTTTAGTCTGGCCTTATCAATAATCGAGCGTGCTCTGTCTTGCAGATGTCGGAGTGTATTCAATTTTGATTTAGGGTGACTTTCCCAAAAACATTAGCGTATCTCAGATGGCTTTCGATAAGGGCGCGGTACACATGGTCGAGCTGGGATTGTGAAATAAAATTTTTCAGTTCTTTTAGCGACTTCAGACCGCCGTTAATCTTCCCTTTCACTTTGCTGAATTGGTCATCCCAGTTTAGCCTTTCGTCCACCATTACCCCTCATGATTTGTTCTTCGCAACTGGCTTTATTTCTGAATCATTAAGGTGCAGTGGTTTTGAGATTTCAACTTTATGTGTCCTCCATGGATGGTCAATAAACATATATTCAGTTTTTTTGGGTTTGCGCTTAGTTTGTTCATCCGCATCCTTTCCGAGATGTTTCTTTGTGGGCATTTGTAAGTAGATATTCAATGTTACTAGATGTTAATGTAACATGTGTGTCATCTGCATACATGCTAGCCTTAGAAAATTCTAAGCACTTTTCATTTAGGTAGATGATAAACAGGAGTGGCCCCAAGCATGATCCTTGAGGTATACCACATGACGGTATACCAATTAACTGAGCAGAATTGTCTTCTATTACTTAAGAAGGATGTGAACCATGCTCTCGAGATTCCCCTCATACCGAGTGCATTTAACTTTTTTATCAGTATTGCATGGTCTATGGTATCAAATGCCTTTTTCAAATCCAGAAATATGGCCACGTTGAGCTGTTCTTTGTCGATGTTGTCATACCAATTGTCAGTACCATTTATCAGGGATGTTATAGTAAAATACAGTTTTCGAAAAGCAGATTGATTTGGGGTCAATACTTTGTTCGCTATGAGATATTTAACAAGCTGATCATGAACTTTTTTTTCCAACAGTCGAGAGAAAATTGAGATGACAGAGATAGGTCTATAATTGTTTCCATCCCTTTTTGAGCCTGATTTAAAAATCGGTTTGACTTTTGCTAATTTTCAGATATCTGGGAAAGCACCATACTTTAATGAAGAGTTGAAAATCATGGTTAGTGGTTTCCAAATGAAGTCTCAACACTGAACACTGAACAATTCATGATTCAGCTATAATTTTTTCTTTTGCAATTATTTTCCCTTCAACATTTAAGCTCGAAACTTCTGTTGAAAGGCTTGCTTTGTCTAACACCTTATTGACAACCTGCCACATTCTTCTAGGATTTCCCTTTTCTGATGTCTGGGGTGATCCTAGCCTGCGCCGCAGACCCAATCCTCCAAAGTTGTTCTATCCCTTAGGCCTGTATATTATGTGTGACGGAAAAATTTCCACTTACCAGTGAATAAGACAGTGTGCTTCATCAATAATCAAGCCAACACAGTTTTTTCTAAATGCAGACGATGATGCTATGGTTCTCCGATGTTTAATTAAAAGCAAAGTTTCAGGTGATGCGTAAATCAATGAGATGCAATCTTCAGTAATATGTTCAAATAATTCATCGCTTTCCATCTCATTTGTGTCTGTCAATGCGATGACCGTAATTCCTGTCTCCTTATTTAAAAAGGAAACTTGGTCGATCATCAGCAATTTTAACGGTGATATTACAATAATTGTGCTTGTTCCTGGGAGCTGATCTAATATGATGTCAGTCATTATCGGTAAAATCTGAAAAATCAATGATTTTCCAAAGCCCGTAGGAGCACTGAAAAATAGATCATTACCTCCAAGTAGTTTTCGCATTGCCACTATCTGCTCCTGATGTAAATTTTCATGCAAGTTTTCGAATGACCCGTACCTTCTACATGCCAGTTCTAAAGCCTCCTCAAATTTCTTGTCAGTAAAGGAGGCGGACATTTTGAAAGATTGTCGGTCAGCAGCGATGCCTTGAATCCTTGAGTCATAAATTAAATCTTGTTATTATTTCCATAGTTTCAATGCATAAATAACTTCCGCAGATTCGTGGAAATAATTTATGCAAGAACAAGCTTCGGGTCAATTGTTCGCAGACCCTATTCTATTTGGAGGATTGGGTCTGCGGCGCAGGCTAGGGTGATCCAGGGAGTAGAGGTATTGCCTAGCCTCCTTTTCTTCAGGGGTGCATGGATATCTAAAACCGACTCAAAGATCTCCTGAAAAGTGGTAGCCATCTTATCAGGATTATCAGCGTAAGAGGTAAGGATTGTTTCCCAATCTATTTGCTGCAGGTCGTTGCGAAACAATGCCCTGTCATAATTGCTCAGACAGCGAATCTCCAAAACTTTTGGTTTTGGTATGAAATGCAGCAAGCAGTCTGTAACCTTTACGGATTCCTTGTCTTCATTTGCTTTTGGCAACATTGTTTTAATCAATTGTATGGTCATTTTATTGAAAAAAATTGACTAACTAACAAACCAACTTTTAATCTAATTTAACTAGAAGACCATATCAGTTAATCGATGTAAAACATGATGAGCAACTGATAAATATTGTTGGACGGCTCGACTCCTGCGAAAAAACTGCAGGCCGAACAACATAATCTTTTTATGGGCTTTAATCATTGGTACCTTATGCATAGTTGATTTGTTCAGCCAAAGCGTTATTCAATTCAATAATGTATTAGGTTGCACCCCTTATTCAAGCCCATGGCGCGTCTCTCTTCACCCTTTAAAGTATTATAGCATATTACATAAAACTTTGAGGAAAAACTGCAAACATCTTTAAATCATGATAACAAGTTATGAAAGGGGTCTGTGGTGACAAAAATAAATGTATGATTGTTAATGTTGATGTAATCGACCTTTATAACCTTTTGGGGACTCTCTCAGCTCCGGGCCTGGGGAAGTCTGCCCCCTCTCATGGGCCCGGGCCTGGCTTTCCCAAATTGAAGACTTTTTCAAATCTTCCACGGCAAGCGGAGAACGATTCTGAAGTAACATTAGATTTTAAGAGTGGGATAGCAAATAATGAAATTTGATTGGACATAAGTTCTGAGAAAAGCATTCACCTTGAACATGTTGACTGATTATGGAGGCCAAGTATGTTCTTGTGAAGTATTCAGTCAAAGAACCAGCCCATAACAACTTATCTGCGCGTAGTGTTGGAACTTTGTAGCAACGCCATTGATAGCCATCAAGATTTTGAGAGCTCCCGTCAAAACGAGGCAACGTACCATGCAACACTAAACTGCAGAACTTGCTAAGCAATGACATCAGGTCTAGAAGGATACAAACAGATTATGCATGGAATATTCAAAATAAATATCTATGAAATAAAACATTATCTTGCGGTGTGACTAGTGTAAAAGATGAACACAGGAGTCGTCTCATAAAGCCATGATTGAACTATCAACTCTGAATTCTTCAACACTGAATTATTCGTGTTTAGAAGACATTGAAACAACAAAAGTTTATGTTGATTGAATCTGACTGCAGATGTGAGGTGACCAATTACCAGAAATAGCACTGGATGCTGGGATACAATTTAGTGGCAAGACTCACTGTGCCTTTATGCTACATTAAACCCTTTTATTCATACCATTACTCGAAGCAGCAGAATCTATAGGTTAAGGATTAGCTAAAAAACTGAATGAAATAGAGCACCGAGGTATGACGTCATCAAAAATCTATTTTTAGAATTCTTGATGTTGACTAAATAGTCTGAAATGACGGGAAATTTTCCTCCCAATATTCAAAATCAGTTAGATATGTTCAAAATTGGGCGAGACATGGCCAATGAAAGATTTAAAGTTTGCAAGATTTCAAGATTTTGAGATTTCAAGATTTCAAGTTTGCAAGATTTCAAGATTTCAAGATTTCAAGACAAATTACACAGGTTGGATGGGAAAAGAGCCTGTCCTTATGTAAAACATCTCAGCCGATATGTAACAAAATCAACTGATTTTACATATAAAAATCTTTCAAAATGCTTGTTCGGGCTTCATAGCCCAAATTGAATAAAATTCTTAAAATAGATGTTAGCGACGTCATCACTTAGGGATTCTATTCCGTAGATGATCATCTTACCATCTTGACAGTTGTCTCCGTAAAAGCCTTTGGGACAAGAACACTCGTATCCTGCTGTATTACAACTTTCTTTGCAGACACCACCATTTTTACAAGGATTTGGCTTGGAAAAGCAAGTATTTTCCTAAAACAAAAAGGGTTGGTTTGCATTACATTGCTAGACACAACAAAATGCTCCACTGTTGAATAAGTGCTGTATAATGCAGATACTGTCCTTTGATAACATATATCACCTTTAATACAAGATTCCTAACATCAGCCTTCTTACAGGTGTAAACTTTGCTCGAAACTACATATTTCCAATACCTCAGCTTCAACTTTCCTTAATTTGCTAAATAGTTTGGCTAAAGAATTAGCTATTTTCAAAAACTATCTCCAAAACAGGGGGTGCTCTTATCTCGATTAGCCTAGTTATTGAGTTAGCTTCTGATATAAATCCCCCACTTACGATTCTTCTTGCCCCCGTAGAGTTTTTCCAACTCAATTTCAGTTGCATTTCAAACCGTTTCTGTTATTAGCTAATAAAGTATAAGATGAATTTTAATTTTGTCCTTTTGAGTAAAGAAGATTGTCCAGTTTTTGTATGTTGAAGCTTGGGTAGTGGAAATATAAATTATGAAAACTGGAACAAAAACTGGAGCTCAATTTGACCTTGATTGTTCTAAATTAAAATTTGCCCTTTTAAATTATTCTTATGAAAAATTATCTCCGTGCTTTTTGGCATCAGTGCGTCCGGTTTATTATCCTGGATTTTGTGCATTTCTTTACTCTAATTCTGTTATGAATCGCTGTATATTCTGATTCACCTAAGTACGCCAGAAAGGGGAGCGAGAGGGGCAACGATCTCTCTCGCCCTTTGATGGGAAGGGAAAGGGGCCAAATTGACCTTTTCATAAATAAGCCCTGGACGTATCAAAGATATTAATATAAAAACTTGACTGTTTTAACATATTCACGAAGAAATTGTGACTTGAAACTTGCGACTCAAAAACCAGAAAAAATCTTATTCTTATCACTGCAATAACCCTATTTACAAGATGCCAGCAGAAAATCGAAACAGAAGAACAGTTTCAAAAAAATTAACAAAAAAAGCTGAAAAGAAAAGCTGGAATTTTTTTCAAGTGTCCTTTTACTGAAGCCTGCCCCTTCGCCCTCTTGATGGTCGTTCTTGCGTCCGTGGACTCAATGCCAAGCAATATAGGGGCTTAAGAGACTTACGAAATAGGCCCGACTTGAGCAAGAACTGAGACCGAGACCGTCAATATTATCTGTATTATCAGTATTATCAGTCAATATTATCTGTATTATCAGTATTATCAGTCAATATTATCAGTAATACTTGGACTGAGACCGTCAATATCATCCAATATTTGATTCAGCCTTAAGCTAATTTTTTTTTAAACTTGGTTCTTTTAGAATTTTGAGACTAGCAATCCAAACTAGGCTGTTCTTTGAACTTGTCCTATGAAAAGAAAATAATTGCTTATAGCTATGCTAAAAACATTTAAGAGTCATCTCCTTAAATTAGTAATATATGCTCAAATAGACCGCGGAGATTGTATTTCTTGCTCGGCAGAACCATTGTTTCGATCTTTACAATAAAATGTTTCGATGGCTTTTGATAGGATAAAACCATTTTAGTTTCAGTGGCTAACAACCGGAAGCCTGTCTTTCCTAAACGTTTTTTCTCTCAAAATAGGCATTTACATCAAAATTCGAGGTTGATTGATGTTTCAAAAATATTGTGACAAGTAGCGAAAAAAGTGCTCAACAAGAAAATTAATCACCCAAAGCTTATTATAAATTATCATAAAATGAAATTATCATAATTATTGAAACATATGAATATAAGCATATTTTAGTAACAAACCAAGAGGGGGATAGCTGAAACCTTTAAGATCTTAGATAAACCAGGTCATTTTTCTTGTTAAAGAAGATTTATTTCGGGCATTGCGCGGTTTAATTCGTGGGGGGAGCTCACAGATCTCATCTAATCTCAAAATTTTCCAAATTTTAAAGTGAAGAAATTAATAGGAATGCTTTTTTATTTGGAAACCACTATAGCAGTCTCAGGATTGTAAAATTTCTTGGATTTTTAGTTCATTAAGTTTCATTAAGTTCATTAAAAACTTCACTGCAGTTGTGTCTTACCTACTTTTGTTTAGAAAAAGGGAGAACGATAAAGAAAGAATAAGGAGAAAGTAGAGATGCAAACAGAGATTGGTTTGCAGAGGAGTGTTGTGGTTTTGCAGGAGACAGAAATACTGAACCATTTAAGAAGTGCTTTAGAAACCACGAAGATACAAAAATAGCGTTCAGAAATACGCCAACTCGCTCACAATTATTCGCTTTCCATACGTAAAAAGCACTTCCGCTAAGAAACAAATAACAAAGAAGGAATTTGAATTCGCTTTGTTAAAGTTGCTAAGCAAGTTTCCAGCAGCAAATATTTGCTATATGTAGTTATTACCTCAATGATAACAATGTTAATTTTTTTTGGAAGAATCGATGTTACATTCATCGAATACAAAGGTTTTTGAAAAACCAAAAAAAATTTCAGTAAAGGGTTGCAGATGCATTATCTGCACAACATCTTTTTAAATAATTTTTCTAAAACAAACTTCAAGATTTAGAAGAAAAAAACACGAAAAATGGAATTGCTATGTTTTCCAATTTCAACACTCAAAACGTGAATATTTCCTGCATTGAAACAAGGTTTTTAGGCTCTTGTAGAAAATTTGAGTCCGATTCCAAGTATCATCAAACAAAATTCTACCCATTGAATAAATTTTACATGATTCGGTCAAATTGAAAAAAAGGAATGATATTATTCCCAGAAAACAAGCAATGTTAGAAGTTTCAAAACCACTAGAGTTCATTTTTTATCCGTCTACGTTACTCATTAATTTCAACCATTGGAAATCCTAGGAGACTTTAAATGTCACAATGGCGATATAAAATCAAGATTATGAAAACGGCTGCTCACTACCAGGTTTTAGTTTAATGATAGAACATATAATGTGTATATAAAGTATAAAAAATTTGAACATGTTTTGTTTAAAGATTTAACGAGGACATATTTTGTTTAAAGATTTAACGAGAAGGATCAGACTTAAGAAAAAGTTATAAAACAATATCCCCTTGAACAAGCCTTGGACAAGCTTAATACCTTCTCCAGCTATCAAGCCAAGACGTCAAAGACAAAGAAAAAGGCATGGCTTTGGTTAGGTAGAAATTTAAAACTGTAGCAATCCAAAACACCTACAATCCCTGCCAAAAGTCTTGAAACGTAGACGTCCCAGGAAACAATGTTGTTTTATCATAGAACGACGTGAAATCTTTGGAATTTTCTGCTCTTGCGCTACTTGCCTGACGTTTGTTTACGCTATCAACATTGTTCTGGGGAAAGGGCTTTTTTCAGAAATGAAATGAAAGCAAATTGCTGGGTGTTCCAAGTATCATTTTTGCGCCCATCTGTAATTGCTCCAATCTTTGACCAATGTCCATTGTAATTCAAGTATTTAAACTAAATTTGAGTTATATTTATATTGGGGCTACAAGTAGTTTTCATCCTGCTGATTTCGAATATTGACACAAAAATTGTGTTTTCTTTCCTTTTTTCCACATTTACCACGCAAAGTGTAAAATTTATCGATTTCCGTGGCGGAGAGGACTGGAGACATGTTTTAGGCGCTGACGTAAAGTCGTGGACAAGTGCCCCGATCCCAAGCGTGGAAAAGAAAACAGCAGAGTGAGCCGAAAGAAAGAAATTCGGGAATTCGGTTAGTAGTTAGAATTTCAGTTCGCAATTTTCACGACAGCTCTCCAGGAATGGCAACAGACTCAAGATCGAGCGACGAGGAAGTGTTTGGAGCATGTATTGGTGAAGTACTTATCCTACCAAGAGCGAGCCGGAACAGCGAATCATCTCCGGCGACATTTTGTGCTTCCTTTGTCGTTAGTAAAGAGGAAATAAATAAATGGTACGTTGATCCTTGTTTCTTTTCTTGCAAAAAAGGCAAGAAATACACTCACTCAGTTTCCTTGTAAATCTAAAATACTAAGGATTTAGGGTTATACCATGTCACAATTAAATAAACATTTTCTTTGATTTGAAAATTTTTATACATAGTTTGATGTGTAGCAGGTCTACCTAGCCCACTTTTGGTTTAAAAACTGGTTGATGTTGTGTACATATACAGGTATTATTAAATCGTACTGCAATTCAGATTTTTTGGACTGCAAGAAGTTCAAACACTTAATAGAAGTGGATGAAATATGCCTAAATTGATTAATACCTAAAATTTCATCCACTTTGGCAGGTATCTACAAACAGTGGCCTATCAAAATGGATGGTTTGCTGGTTTTGGCTGGAGTTTTGGCTGGAATAACTAGACCACCTCAAACATGCATTTATCACAAATTTAAAGAAAAGAACTTTGGTCAAATAAGAAAATATATACTTGGAAATATAAACTTGGAAACATACAGTCTTTTTATGTTACATCTTGCTATCAATTGTTCTGTAGTCAAGGCACGAGCACCCCTGTTTAAAGGGGGTACTACTTTAATATTTTTCATTAAATAATATTGTGTTGGTTTACCACGCCAAATGTTTCTTGGCTGTTTAGGAAACTATATGAAAGCTATCATGATATCATGTTCCATGGAATGGGCACAAGAACCCAAGTCTAAAAAAGGCAAAGGGCTATTTTGAAGGTTGGGGCAGCAAATCTTGTTGTGTAGGTCTGCCAAGTTTCATGGCTGTAGAGCTAACAGAAGCGGATTTACCATAATAAGGTCTTCTGAGTACTGGGCACAGCAAATCAATTTTAGAAATTGCACAAGGGGTATTTCTGAAGTAGGGGACCCGTTCTGTCCTTTTCAGCAAGTAAAATTGGGTAGGTTTGACTGTGTTCTCGCTCCACCATCAATGAGGGCAAAATTCGACTTTAAAAGCCTTAACAACTTAAAAACTTCACAATTTATTGCAAAAATTCAAACGGTTTTAGAATCAGCTCGGGAACCTTTATTAGTGGACAAAAAATCGTATTTCACTTGAAGAACCCGTGCATAGTATATGCATCGACAAAGGTTCCATCACAGAAAAAGCCCGCCCGTTCACAATGCACAGGCTAATATCAATCAACCAAATTTCGTACAATCTACCAATGCTACTGCACCAAAATGCTACCAAAATTACCAACATGCCTATTCTAGAGCATGAGTTTACAATGCTTCAGAATGCGTCTCCTACCCAGTAACGATAAAAAACAATTCAAGGGACAAACCTCATCCGTAGTGCCAAGAAATGTCCAACCAGCCTTTTCGGTTAATTTTTGAATAACAGCAAGAAATCCAATATCAAATATTTCACAGAGCCCGGTATCCTTGTTGTGATTAGCAGATTTGCATTTTGGGTGTGAAAGGCAGTGCAGACAACACTGCCTTCGGTTGGTGTTCGTATACGTGCTAAGAGCAGTGTTGGCAAGTGCAATATTGGGCAATACAATGTCGAAATTCATTTGCATTTTACAGGGTAGCCTAACGATGCTCCCATTGGCATGCAGATTCATAAAATATAACAAGACGAAAAAGACCCTGTACAGATGAAGTGACATTTCATAGCAGTGCTAAGCAAGCCTTTATGCCAAACCACCTACAGAATTTGTGTTGGCAGTAAAGTTGTTTTCCCAAGGTTGAAGCAGTCCAAAAGACGTTGCCTGGACAACAATGTACAGGTACAATTTTGGGCAACGGTAAATATGTTTAAAGATCTTCAGCGACGCCTTTCAGCTAGCTTTTAAAGCTTGAAAGCAACAAGCAAGATATCTATATGAATTCCTGTAAACAGAACTTTATGTGCGCAATCAAGCTTTGGAAATTTTTCATCCTTCTCGCGACAAATGTGCTAGGCCCTATCTGCCCGAAACAGAATTAATTTTGCGAAAACACGATTTTTCACAGGATTCATTTTTAAGGACCTTGATGTTCATAGAAAACGCTCCAGATTGCGTTGTGAAATTTTTTTCGGAAAGCCGAGTTGCCTGCTTCGCAGACCGCAAGGCTAGAACATGGCCGGCAAAACCAGGCATGCCCTCCCCCCCCTCTCACTTTTCTGTATAACAAAGCAATATTTTTAAGATGAAGTGGAAAAACTGTATTGCACCATTCTGCAAGTTATTTTGTCTCAAATTACATTAAATATGCCCTTAGATTAAGTTTTGTTACTATGTCTTTACCAAATAAATATTTAGAAAACTAGAACTTGGGAAACTGATCGATAAAACCGAATCCTTGTCCAGTATTCAGCAGGTTTATGTCTAAAGACATATTCAACAGAGAAATCGATGCAAAAGGAATATCGCGTTCATTTGCGATGACTGGTGCATTTTTCTCGGTGAATTCAGAAATCGACGTTGCCATTGACTCTTTCTGTTGCAGACTGACGCGAAGAGAAGTTTTTTGATCTAGCTTCAGGACAAGCCTTTGATTACAAGCTGATAGAGTTGATATGGTTTTCCCAGAGATATCAAGATCGCGTCCTTCCTCATATTGGGAGGCCGGCGTATTGCTCTCAGTTTTTCATAACGCTATTGGACAGCATTTGTACTGATCTGGACTGTAAGAGGTATGGACTGAGAGTAGTGTTGCTGTGGAAGGTGTAGTGTCTTTAATCTTGAATGGCAGGTCGTATGTTCGAGATATGCGAGTTCACAAGTGAACATATCAAGCTTTATCGACACTACTCCTGCAACTTTTTCTACCGTTTATTGAAAACAAAGACCTTGAGCATGCAAAATGGTTTCAGTTAGGTCGAAAAACCCTTAACTTTGATAGGACTACTTGAAAACCCTAATTCAGACTATTGCTTCTGATGTTTCCTCCAAAAAGAATCAAAGAAGGACGTTATTTTCTTCTTTTTGTGGCGATAGCCAATCAATGATCAACACAACCAATACTCATTCATTCTCTTTGGATAATTGTTTTTGGATTAATCTTTGGATTTGCTTTGCGGGATAATTATAAGCGGATTCTGCCAAGAATACGATAAGCGGTAAGCGGTTCCATGAGATATGATCACCTTATATATGCAAGGTCAGCGCCATTTCTTATTGATGATATGACGCAGCCTTCCCGGAAAACCATTAAAAACTTACAGGGTGATTTTGTTATGAAGCGCTCCAATAAAAAATTTAACAGATTTAATTGATAAAAATTTAACAAGTTGATACAGGTCATGTCCAGGAATGGATCATTTAAAATTGAGAGAGCTGGCGGTCTATTTGGCGTTGAAACTATATGCACATCAACGTTGGGAGCTTTCTTTTCACCAGGGGTGTGAAATCACAACAAAACCGTTCACCGTGTTCGATCTTGACGCAGGAAAAGCCGCTTGCAACGAATTAAAAATATCTTTCATTTTAATAATATTTATTTACAAAGCTTAATAAGCGATTCATTCTAAAGATCTATTTGGTTGAAAATATTGGGAATAACAAAAATCTTCATCATCTTCCACCCATCTTCATCGCACTGCTTACGCCCTATTTATTTAAGAAAAAACTAAGAACAATCCAGCCTCAGATTTTCGAGAACAGTCGAATCAAGAACAGTCAGCTTGAACTGAAATTTATAAAAATGAGGTTCTCATAAAAAATGAGTGTAGTCCCGATGGAAGACCTCAAGTCAGCTACAACGATCGACTGAATTCGAAAGATGTCCCTACATTTGAAGATTTGTACCAAGTCAAGGTAAGATCCATATTTTCGGAAGAAAAGGTCACAAAAACTGACAGAAGAATAACGCAATTGCAAATTGTAGCACTCGAAGCTGGAAGGAAAAGGAATTTTTGCAGTTAGGGATTTGTGTGATCTTGTCCCCGCTTCAAGAGCATCAACTAATCTTGGGCTTGATCTTGAAAGAATTTACAGCTGCAGTCGCTATTCCATTAAAAATGGAAACAGCAAAATCTTAGATAATTGTCAACAACTTGTCAACAACAATTTTTCCTTGGCACGACCTGCAGAAGCAGAAACGCTCGGATATTCAACAGAAAATTCGCATAGAATGTGATAAGTTTCAATACCACTTAAGAATTGATGTCGTTTTTGACTGCTTCTGGAGGTTTTAATGAAAATTTCCAACCGCGAGTGAAAGAGGAAGGCCTCTCATTCAATTCACTCTACATTTAGACACAGAAATGGACCATTACCAAAGCTTTAGCAAAATTTCCTTGATCTTTGGGTGAATACGGTTTGTAGGAGAAAATACCGATAAAAAGGAAGTTTGGTCAGCTAGGCAGGATGATGATTACAGAAATCCACCAAGAAGAGGCAGACACAAGAATGATTCCGCACGCAGTTCACGGCACATGTGACAAAATAGTTGTCTTTCCTGCATAGACGATGCATGAGATACTAATGTTTTCCTGTTACAATTCTGCATAACTGTCAAGAAAATTTGCTTATGGTCAGGGATGCTGTAATATAAACGCTAAAAACGAAAAGCTTTAGGCAAATATTTCGTTTTAGACGTATAATCAAATAAGAGAAAGATAAAGTGTTCTTCGAAATTCTGGAAGTAAGGATAAATTCTATCAGAAATCGCATTGAACAGCCCAGTTTAGAAGATTTTTTAAATAAAAATCAGAAGCAAAATGAATACGGTATCCAGTGGACAGTGTTATGCTAATAATTTTGATGATAATTTAAGATATTCATACAGGATAATCTTTTCGGTAAAGTTACTGCTATCATGTTCCTGTTCAAGCAAAAGTAGGTAAAAAAATACAACGAGAATACAACTGAAAATCTTAATAAGATGTTCTAAATTTTAAATTAACTGTGTTGGCTTTAATTTTAGATTTAATGAAATTTGTTGGGAAAATTTTGATTAATGCTAGGCATTTAGTAGTCATTGCTGTTGCTGAATCAAAAAAATGAGATCAATACCTTCTTATTCTAGACACAAATCATGTTAGACTTCTGAAGAGATGGCCAATTCACCGTATTAATCAAGTCAAACATTATTAATATGCAATTATCAGCATAGATTCTCTTTGTTATCTCAATTACTTAAAGCACAAGCTTTTCAAATGACAAATTTCAAGCATTCAAATCTTCTTTTTATGCATTTTATACTTAAAAATTCAACAAACAAATATCCCCATCACCATTTACTGTAAATTATCGAAAGAATGACAATAAAAAACGTGATTATAGCAATTCTTTGTAAACAACCCTCGTCGAAGCACCTAAGCAGTAAAATTTGATTAGAATCTCTGATTTTTGTGAAAAGCTATTGCAAAGAAGTTAGCTCAGCTTGCTTCTTCAAAAACTTAGAATTCGCATCAAAGTCTATGCTAGCAAAAGCCTCAATACAAACATCAGAAATTTTCGTAAAGATTTATTTTATTTGAAGCAATCTTAATACCTGCTAAACGCACCAAAAACTTCACCTTGAGCGCACCGAGCACTTTCCACAATTTATGATATCATAAAAAATTCGGTACTTCTGACTTTGGACCTGGTTGGTGATAATAATCAACATATTGTCTGTATTAACTGGTGGTTATTAAATTCTGTCCGGGAAAAATGAAATGATTGTCCACAAGGTCTTCGAGTCAAAAACCTACCAGGATAGCATATCAAAAGAAAATATCACTGGTATCCTGTTTGCTTGTCTATCAAACAGTGCATCTTCATTCGAAAGTGCTATGACCTAAGCCAACAACCGGTTTCGGAAAATGGAACCACTGCGTAAAAGGTGGTTTCCTGCTGCAGGGGATTGAAAGTCAAATCTTTCACTGATCAAGCAAGAGAAACTAAATTTCTGTGGTACCGTTGAATGTATAAATTAACTTTATGCGTGATGTGAATGCATATCTCATGTCATATCAGATGTGATTAATCAGAAACAATTATTAATCAAGTAATTTAAGGCTGGTTGCCAAACAGAAAGATTTTTATAGTCAGAATAGAAGAGCAATTTTAAAGAAAAAAGCAACCATGATTCTAGACATGGTGTTCTTTGTCATCATTTCAACGACTTGTTTGAATAGCTTCCCGCTTCAGCTATCGACAAATATTGATGAAAGTGGACTGGTGAGTTCTTCGTTTGTTTGGAAAACATATCGATTTATTGTTTGCTGGTTGTTGTTGTAATTATCCAGGGTGAAGCCAAAAACCTTTTTAGTAGGGGTACGGAAATTATTTTTGGCGACAAAAAATGGCATGTCTCACTCTTTAAGGCTGTAATCATAAGATAAGTAATCCTAATTCAAAAATCCATACTTAAGTGTCATACTTTGAAAGTTCAATCACTACAGAAACGCTAATACATTACAATTGTTGCAAAATGTTACAGGGCGAGAAAAAATTTCTTCGTATACCTGACAAACATTTCTTCGTATGCCTTACTGTACAGTTCGCCAAGTTGAAAAAGTTCTACTTTTTGGTTACTTCCTGGTTCTTACCAGGTTAGTACAGGTTGAGCTTGTGCGGGAAATTCTGGCTAAGATATCAATTGTCGAATGATTTTTATCAGGGGAAAACATTGCTTTATTATGAGGAGAAAAGCTGCCAGGGTACTGTGGGGTAGCCACGGTTGGAAAATTGGAGGGGCAAATAAGAGTCCGACAGCAGATTGTCCCGGGGGTTTACGACATCCTTTAGAGTTAGGGAAAACATCTCATTTTGAAACGTGTTTGAAAAAAATAGATGATCTTTCTGCGTGGCAATGGTAAGCTAATACAACACAATAACAGTCATATGTACCTTTTTGTGGCGGCCCTTTCCATTCTACAACTGACTATTTGAAGAATACAATCCCCCTCATGTTTATGTTCTGAATCGTGTCGGGCGAGGAAGCTCTACGTGTAAAAACTGATTTTTCAAAATTGTTAGCAAATATCTAAAAAATGATAAACAGTATTAAACCGCTTCAAACTTATTCCATTCTCCTAGAAGCAAAGTTTGCAAAATCCTTGACACGCATTTTAGTATACATTTTTTTAAGGTTTCAAGCATTTCAAAATTTTAGCGTCTATTTTGTCTGGAATGTCTAAAGAACGTGCAAGACTTTTCTATGTATATCGTTATGTAAAGATGAGCTAATCGGTAACGGAATAGCTAACTGAATGTTTAACGTCTATGAAAAATTCCTGAAAATCATTCGGAAACTTGGGGCATCTTTAGGTATCCCCTGGAATCTGTAAAATCTGTTCCGAAATCCATGAATCGACACAGGGATTTTAAAAAATCCTAAAAACCTCGTGAGCTACAACTGGTTGTGAAATTTCCCTCGATCTTGACTTGAGATTCAAGGGGGTCTTCTGAACAAACATGACGGCGCGTGTTGATCGGGGGAGGGAGAGCATGGTTTGAAGAGAGCTATTTTAGTATTATGTAATCATTCAATAGTCCCTTATATTCAATGATGGGTGGCTACCAACAATTCCCGGATTCCGGTGTTATCAATTGCCGAATCCCGCTCACAAAAATTCGCCAAATCCCGATTCCCGACTCCAAAAATGACGATTCCCGCTTCCCCGAAAAATAAATTGGGTACCTTCTTACTCCCCTGCTATTGTAGCTAGGCTGGTCTTCACTTGCATTTTTTCACTCCCTTCCCCACCAGAGCTCTTTTTAACCCCTCCCCCAATAAAACGTGAATTGTCTGTATTTATTTTCTCTGGGTAATTTGAAAGCATCTGGATGATTTGAAAGAAGAGACCATATCAGTCATACATATTCACCCTACATGTGTCAAATTCCCGTACACAAATAATATTTGTGACCCCTTAGAGCCTTTGGTAACAGATGCATATTCGATTAAATAACCATTTTGTATACGTTACAGAACTACCTCGCAAAGTATGGTTACGTAGTGCGTCCTGACCCACGAAGGGGCTCGATCCTAAGCGAACAGAAGATAGCAGAAGGGCTGAGAGCACTTCAAAGGATGGGAGGAATACCTGAAACGGGCGTATTGAATGAGGAAACGAAAAGAATCATGCAAGCGCCGCGCTGTGGAATGCCCGACTTTGCCCCAACTGATAACGTCAAAAGAAAGAGAAGATACAAGAAGCATGGCACCATTTGGAATAACAGAGTATGTTAAAAACATTTAAATTTTTCGTGGGGGTATATTTGGTGGGGCAGTTTAAGCGTTTGATTCAGCATTTTTGATTGGGTCATGTGTCAATCTAGGATACCCACTCATACACAGTCGGATAGAAAGTGCAGCTGCTTTCAAGAAAATAGGTTTTTAATCTTTCTTTTGTTCACTCTCGATTTATATAAGCTTGCTAACCCCTGTTAATCTTTATAAGTATAAGATTGTCAACCTCAATTTCAATTAGGGGTTGTTTGCCTAAAAACGTCTTTCTGTAAGCTTATTGTAATTTGCGAAAATTTTCGTTGGAAAATACTTGTTTTCTTAAAGAGTGGTCTTGGAAAATTTCCATAAAATAGGTCCTGATAACAGTAAGCATCCCTTTTCCTGCTAATTTGTAATTAGTGGATATCCACCGTTCTGCGTCTTTTGTCTTTTTTAGGGGTAATTTTAGGGGGTAATAACGTCTTTATCCACAAGGTCCACTTTCCTGTTTCCTTTCCCGGTGAAAGCCGCGTGTCTTGAAAAAGACAGAGGTGACGTCAAAGATTTTCGCAAAATACATAATAGATGACGATGACGTCACCCAACATTGTCGAAATATTAGTCTCTATTCTAGTAAATGCATGGAAAGGCTTTGGACTGTATTTAAAATTGTGACAATTGAATAGGTTTCCAAAGGCTCGATCAAAATAAGAAATTTTCGCAAAATACAAAATGACCTGTGATTTTTTAGCTAGAGATCGTTGCTTTCTCATGATCACAAGCTCTGATGTCATCATTAGAAAAAGGGTCTTGTGTTTTGGTTAAATTAGTGACATTCTATTTTAGAATCTAACGTGGACAGTTGCCAACAGCAACAATGACAATATCAAGGACGAAGATGTCAGAAAAGTTATGATAAAAGCCTTCGAGAAATGGTCATCAATAACTAATGTTGACTTTAGAGAAGACAAAATAAATCCTGATATACGAATGAAATTTGCTAGAAAGAGCCACAACGATTCACGCCCATTTGAGGGAAGAGATGGAGCTTTTGCCCATGCATTTTATCCAGGCAATGACGGTGGGTATTTCCATACATGAAATTTGAATCATTTTAATATATATTTCCTATTTAATAATGAAATATGAATATATGTTTCCTTTAAATGTGGAGTAGTCTGTTAAGAATTGCTATAAGACAACTGAATTGATAGTCTGCTTTGAAAACCATTTTCAAGTAGTTACGTCTCACTGAGAGTGAATTTTAGCCAAAGATCCAAAAATCAAAGCGGATTTGTCAACGTATGCTTAGCTAACTGACTTTGTCATGAATCTTTTCTTAGAATATTTTTAGAATTGTTGATTCTAGACCCTGTTATCAGCAAGAACGGCACAAAATACCACTAACTGTGAGAAATATGTTACAAATTCACTGAGATATGGTCTTTAAAACGAGGAGCAGTTTAATTTTTGAAGCAGCGTACGAGATTCTCACGAAAACAAAAGGATTTCCAGGGAGTTCACGGCTAATCAACAGGATTTGCATAAAAGGTGTACAAGATTTCCAACGACTAATCTGTCCCTCGTTTGAAAAGATCTAAATTTTTATGATTGTAATACTGTACTTTGCTTTGATTTTCAAATGATAAAACCATGACAAAATTTGAATGATTTGACAGAGTAAAAGCTTGTGTGGCCATAATGCAGCTTGTGGTTGAAGATTTAGCCGAGATGGCACAAATATAAGTGTTTGTTCAGATTATATGGTCAAAATTGAAAAATTATGAATAAATTACTTGCATGACGTCATCATTTAAAAAACTGTAGTCTTGGAAATGAAGTCAGGATCCAAAATGAGAAAGGTTTCATTTGGTAAAGATATCAAAACATACTATTGTAAAGCTAGTACCATTAATTATTAGCGAAGATTTATTTTGCAGAGCTTGCCGGAGATGTTCATTTTAATGATGACGAAATATTCAGTATAGAATCTTCAAAAGGGAGAGATCTTCTATACATCGCAGCCCATGAAGTTGGTCACAGTCTTGGGATGGATCACACAGAAACGAGAGGAGCTGTAATGCATGCCCTCTATAATTATACTGATGGGCTTGATTTCAACCTCCACATCGATGACATAAAAGGTGTCCAATCACTTTATGGTTAGTATTGCCTCTGCATTAGCATCTCTTTTCATGGAATATAGATAGCGCTAAAATTTTAACACAGTCGACAACTGTATTACCTTTATTTTAGATTATATAGGTTTGAATTCAGTGATGGCGTCTGCTATTGTAGAGTGGCAGAATAATGGACGTTACCCATGACACAAAGCCCCTTTTCCCTCCATTTCAGTGCTTGATACCAGGTATATCTTCCCTAAGGAAAATCTTATAAACGTCAGTCCTAAACCCAACTCGTCTCTTTTTATTAATTTTAAAAGAATAAATGAATATATGTTTTGATAAAAGTCGAAGAGGTGATTACCCAGGAGCATTGCTCTTGAATTCATATTGCTTTAATGCCACGGGAAACAAACAAGACACTTTCTCTATAACCTATTAAGGTCCGAAATTACAGTGATATGTAACGGAGTCAGTAAAGGCTGATTTCCACGAGGCGAATTTCGCAACGAATTCGCGGCGAAATCGCTGATGAAGGCATCAAGGCATGCGCAGTTTTGATTTTTGATTTCGCAGCGAATTCGCAACAAAGTAGAAAAGAGTTCGACTTTTTCTCGGCGAAATATTTCGCAGCACCTAATAACCAGTCAAAGCATGGTAAATTTGTATGATTCGTAAGAAAACAATTTTGGAACATTCGCCATGCGTGCAGTTCTGAAAATGGGCGCCTTAAAGTTGAGTTTTGGCGGAAATTATTATATAATTTCGCAGCGAATTCGAAGTCTCGTGGAAATCAAAGACAATTTCGCACCGAATTCGCTGCGATTCGCTTCGAACTTTAAGGTACTCATTTTCAGAACTGCACGCATGGCGAATGTTCCAAGATTGTTTTCTTACTAATCAAGCAAATTTACGATGCTTTGAATGGTTATTAAGTGCTGCGAAATATTTCGCCGAGAAAAAGTCGAACTCTTTTCTACTTTCTTGCATATTCGCTGCGAAATCAAAAATCAAAACTGCGCATGCCTTGATGCCTTCATCAGCGATTTCGCCGCGAATTCGCTGCGAAATTCGCCTCGTGGAAATCAGCCTTTAAGTACCTCTTGTTTTGCCTATGACCACTTTAGGAATAGATTGCAGGACAACGAGTTGTAAAGGTTGTCTTATTTGCTCATGTTTGTTTTGAATTAGGTTACCTGAACCCTAGTGTCATGAGTGAGATTTTCGAGGCAAGAAATGTACATTACGATTTGCGAAATAAAAATACTCTTGGTATGCCAAAAGCCAGGACAATTTCTTATGGTATAGAAACTGTAAGATATTTAGGTCAAAAGCTGTGGCAAACACTACCTCACGGTATCAGAGAGTCCCAATCATTAGCATAATTTAAAAGCGAATTAAGAGCACACCCTGTAGAATGTGACTGTAGATTATGTAAAATATTTATTAATGGGTAAGGTTTTATTTAGAATATTATACTTTAAACATTTTAAGATTGTACTATATATTTATTTTATACTAATTCTTCATAGATAGTTGGCCTTAATTAGCTTCTTTATAGCTGTTAGACTTTCATCTAGTACGCCAACTGTAAGCAAATTATATATTTTTATAATATTGTTGTTTATTATTATCATTTTTCATCATAGGAGTAAAAGGCCGACCGGTCCCAGTTGAACCGTTGCCTGTTTCTGAGAAGGGAGGCAAGGCTTTTGAATCTTCCATGTCTTTGTGCTTTGATAGGGTCAAAGCTTCAGTAATGACAGCCAACAAAATAACGTACATTGTCAGCGGCGAAAAAACATACATTCTGAAACGTCATTTGAGGATAAAAAAAGGCCCCTATCAGACGTCAGAATTATTCGGGGGACTCAATAGAATCGACGCATTATATAAACGACAATGGGATCACAAAATCGTTGCCTTTAGTGGAAATAAGTATGTTTGTTAGCTTCAACTATTGATCAATTGTTTCTAGTTATCAAAACTCAGAACCATATTAAGTCATTGTTGTTTTGGGAAATTTTTGAGCATGGAAACAATTAATAAAATCGGATTCAGCAGCTAAAATGCAATCCCCCAGGAGCCACATGCCTGAACGTCAATAAGCATTACTACTACAAGGCATTAGTTATGACAACTTTCCTTTTTCAACGCTAACCATTAAGCCTTACCATTCAAATAATTTTTTCATATATGCTTTTATGCCAACGACCTTGTAAACGGCTGCGTGGCCATCTGGTCTCAAACAAATCATTCTTTACAAATCTTTGTTTGGAAAACCTTTTGGAAGGGCGTTCTCTACATTATGGAAAATTTCATTCGTAGAATTCTATAAAAGATATATGGTTTTGTGGTCTAGAATTCATTGAAGTATGACCCTTTCATAGGCCAATGAAATTGATACATTCTCAACAAATCAAGATACAAGCGGAAAAATGAAACTTTGCTCTTGAAATTCAGATTCAAGTTATCCATCTCCCAGTCTTCAGTCGTGGAATCAGAATTTTTTGGTTCTAGGGCAAAGATTATTCTTAGATGGTTGTTTTTGTTACAATATCATTGTTTTATCTTGGCCATTTTTGAATGTGATTACATTTGTCCTTTTAGGTATTATGTATTTGAGGATACAAAGCTTGTTGATGGTCCCCATCTCATTAGCCATGGCTTTGAAGGTCTACCAGTAGATTTTGCTGATGTGCAAGCAGCATTGGTTTGGCAAGAGAATGACCAGTTATACATATTCAAAGATGCGCAGCACTGGAGGTTTAGTCGTATCCAAAAACAAGACAAATATAAATTGGACATTTACTATCCTAAAAAATCGCATTTTTGCACGGGCGTTCCGAAAGATTTTGATAGCATCCTTGCTTGGAGGTATGGCATTGTCTATTTCTTCAAAGGAGATCGCTATTATAAATGTAAATTTCGCAATATAGAATTGAAGGTAATGGATGGGTTCCCAAAGACTATTTGGAAAGACTTTAGTAGATGTCCTTCACAGTTGCCTTTAACAGGAGCCGCAAGGACCAGGACTGTGAAATCATCGCTTGTGCTTATTTGGCCGCTATTGTATTTTATTTTGCATTAAATACGTGTAAACTCGTATAAATATTGGTACGTTATTGGACATGTACAGTTGTGTTGCTATTTGTGGTTAGGTTTTTCTATATGAAACATCTATTTCTAATTTTACTAAAGAAAATTTGAAAAATTTATCAAATTGACAAATATTCTAAATATACATTTGATATTTTGTTAAAGTTGCGTATTTAGAGATAATATCAGAAATTATTTGCAGCATTGGTGGAAACATTTCCAAGCCAATTATATAGAGTCTTTTCAAAAAATCTCTTGGTGGTACAAAATTTATAAATGACTTTGAAAAAAGCAAAAATTTGAGTAAACTGAAGCGAACCCCATGTTTAACAAGTTGCTTTTGATCTGCAGTAGCGAGGAGACTGTTCTATTTGGGGAAGAGTTTTATTTCTAATGCTGGGATTGACATGATGTCACCCCAATCTTTGGGTTATTCTATCTTTGGGTTGTGTGTCCTACGTAGCCAGAATCACACTAGTAGGAACGTAATCCTTTTGAATGGATGGAGGGGCCATTTTGTACTGTAAAAAATACGCGGATTGACAGCAACGAAACAATTTGTAATGGCCTGTGTTATCTGACTTTCAAATCGCAAGGAACTGTTACCGATCCAGGGTAGTTTTAGATAAATCGGGCACTTTTGTGGACCAAATTTTACATTAGCCAAGAAATTTCTTATTTTCTCCTTAACGTAAACCGAAATGACATTCTCTGGGTAGCCATTCTCAAGAAACATCTTTATTAGTTGTTCAAGTTCCGAGCCGAGTTTAGACTGGGAACAAATCATCAGAAGCCCTATGAGTAAGCGTCTTGATGAGATTAATTTGCCTTTGTTTTGGGCAAAACGAACTCAATCGAGTGCATAAAATGTGGGTTGATGGTATAGACTGGTAAGAAATCCAGTGCCGGGCTTTTCGACTTAAAAATCTAGAAATGGCAAGGAGTTGTTTTCTTCCTTTTCAAATCTGAACTGCGAGACTGGGTGAAAGCCATCGAGGCATTTTAGAAAAGTATCAAACTCAACCTCTAAGAAAATTGTATATGTGTCACCATCTTTTGTTGGTACATTTAATTATTAAAGCTGAATTCAATTCAACGTGTCGCAGTCATCAGCTCAATGAATACTTCCTCTGGGAATTGTAGGGTATCAACAGGGATTAATTTAAGTGTTTTTTGGACAAGCACAGCTAAGCTAAATGTGACGACAAGTCCTTAATTTTGTTTATAACCCTACATAATATACAAAGAATCTTGCATAACCATCTATCAAACTGCCTAACCGAAATTTTTTAAAGTTTTAGTCATGAAAATAAAGGCCACTGATCATTTTAAGTCATAGGTACATTCTGTCAAATGACCAGATTCGGTGACTGTTTCATCATCATTCGGTGACTGTTTCAATTAAGAAGTTTCGTCGTTACTCCTCTCCAGTAGTCACGATCTTCAGCTCCTCTTATGCACTGCTCAAAATTTAACTATGTCCATTCCATTATGTTCTTCATCCACGATTTACGGGGATGTCCCCTTGGTCTTTTCGCACATACTTTTCCTTCCAGCAATGATTTTTGCATTTTGTCTTTTCTTATTAAATGACCAAAATACTGCGTCTCTCTCATTTTTATGTTCTTTTCTAGTGACAGACCTTTTTCTTTTACACGTTTTAACACCTCCTCATTTGTAGTGTGACTTGTGTATGAGATCCTAAGCATTTTTCGATACATCCACATTTCAAAGCTGTTTATTTTCTTATATGTATCCACGTTAAGCGTCCAGGTTTCACTTGCGTATAAAAATGTTGATAAAACATAACATCTGCCTAAGCACTTTCTTTTCTTGATCTCAATGTTTTTTTGCTGTTAAAATATCACTCATATTTAGGAAAGTCTGTCTTGCGATTTCTATACGTTGTCTTATTGCAGTATCTGATCTACCATCAGATGTGATCGTTTGCCCCAGGTACTTAAATGTTTGCACTTGCTCTAGAGTAGTTCCATCCACCTTTATATCAACTTTAGGATTCTCTGGCTCTCGACTGATTACTATTGTTTTTGTCTTCTTTATATTCATTTTTAAACCTCTATTTAAACTATCTGATTTGACTACATCTACAATTTGTTGCAGACCCTGTGCCGACTCCCCAATTAAGGCAGTGTCATCTGCATACCTCAGATTTGTTATATTTTTCCCTCCTATGTTCACACCAGGTAACTTGTCGGCTTGCTTGAATATATCTTCTGTATATAAATCAAACAATTTAGGCGATAGAATACATCCCTGCCTCACACCTCTTTTAATATCAAAACTGTCTGATTCTCCATCTTCTAACATTATGCTGGCTGTCTGATTCCAGTAAAGGTTTTGTATCATTCTTCTATCCATTGCGTCTATGTCACACGATTTTTACTTTCTTATTAGCTGGTCATCATAGACCCTGTCAAAGGCTTTCTCGTAGTCAATGTAGCAGACAAAAACATTCTGCTTTACTTCAAGACACTTGTCGAAAATTAGCCTCAGATTTAGTATTCCTTCTCTCGTTCCTACACCTGAACTAAATCCTGATTGTGTTTCTTCGATCTCTTTATCTATTTCTTTCTCATTTCTTTTCAGGGTGACTTTAAGTATAACTTTGGTGACATGGCTTATTAAACTGATTGTTCTATGTTCTGAGCATTCCAGCGTGGTTTTCTTCTTTGGTATTTTAATGAAAGTAGCATGGGTGAGATCATGGGGCATAAAACCCGATTTGTGAACTTCTTGACAAATTTTTACTAAAATGTTCATCGTTGTATCATCTAAAGCCTTTAAATGCTCTATCATCAAACGATCTATGCCCGCTGCTTTTCCTGCCTTTATGTCCTTTATCGCCAAGATAATCTCCTCCTTAAGTAATTCTAGTCCTTCGCCTACTTGACTGTTTTCAGAAACTGATCTATTTTCATCTTCGTATAGTTCCTTGATATATTCTACCCATCGCTTTGCAACTTCTTTCTTGTCAAATAGAACATGGCCATTTCGGTCCTTGATACATCCACTCGACGTTTTGATTCCTCTCTTCCTGTCCGTGATTTCTTTTACTTTTTTGTGCATTTCCTTCACTTTATGAGACTTTTCAAGATCTTCTACTTTCTTACATAATGAATTGTACCACTCCTCTTTGCGTTCTTTACATCTCTTTTTATCATCTTGTCTATTTGCTTATATTCTGCAGTTCCTTTCTTTTCCCGTCTCTCCTTCATCATTTCTAGTATATCCTCAGTCATCCACATCTTGTCTTTCTTTCTTTTCTTCATAGGGAGTACCTTATCTTGCGCTGCAATGATACTAACTTTGAAACTTTCCCATAGATCATTTATTCTATCTTCGTCTAATTTTTCGATCATCAAAGCATCAAATCTATTTCGAACTTCAATTGCAAACTGCTCTCTATATTCATCTTGTTTTAATAAATTAACTTCGTAGCTATACTGTTGCTGGGACTTCTCAGGTATTTTCAGTTTAAGTGTTAGCTTTATGACAAGAAGATTATAGTCAGACATTACATCTGCTCCTGGATATGTATGAACATCTTTCACGTGATTTTTGAAACGATTTTTTACTAAAATATAGTTTTATATTTTATATAGTTTAAAATATCTGATTACGATGTTGATCATCAGGGCTCATCCATGTGTATAGCCTACGTTTGTAGTGCTGGTAAAATGTGTTGGTGACAACTAAGTTCTCTTCTTGACAGAACTGTATTGATCTCTCCCCTGTATTAATCTGTATTAATCTGTATTAATCTGTATTAATCTGTTTGAAAATTGAAACGAGGAAAGTAGTCATGTTATTTGTCGCTCCATAATGTTACTGTGCTTGTTACGGGCTATAATATAAATAAAGCTTAAAAAAAGTTATGAATTATTATATGGAGCATTGTTACAACGTTTAGCAAGTTATTTTATCTGTTACTCGCGATAAGCCTTCAAATCAATCCAGAGAGCGGAAAGCTAGGCCCACAGTGTGACCATTTTGAATCCCGATGCCTCCGAAACGCGCCATCCAAACTTCAAACATGGACGAAGAAACCATCAAAAAAATAATTAACGACGCTGTTTCGAGCCTTGTTAGCAAAGATCACATGGAAGCCCTCATGGAGAAATTGGAAAGCAATATAGAAGCAATGATAGACAAGAAAATTGCTCAAGCAACGGAGCCCTTGAGAAAGGAAATTTCGATCCTTGAGGGGAAAATTGAAGTTTTCCAGACAAAGCTATTGGAGTTGGAAGTAAGGCTTGATGCCTACGTGTCTTTGGGGTTCCCTTGCCTGCCAATGGCAAGGAATCCAACAACAACGACTGCGTGGATCTAGCGAAAAGGATCTTTTCGGAAATTGAGGTCACCGTACCTGTCGATGGAATTGACAGAGTTCTTGCAGAAAGTGAGTCAATCAAAATTGGACTTGGTGTTGTTCAAGGTCTCTACAATTTAATTGAGGCCAACGCCAAAAGGCATGAAATTTCAAGAGAAAAGTTGAACATGAACTGTCATATAGGTAACAAGGACAAAGCGCAACGCACTGAGCTTGCCAGTGAGGGTCAGTTAAGGCAGTGGACAGGACACGTATTTTCTTTGCAAGGATAAAGACACCAAAACCCATCTAGAAAGCAAAAACCTGCTCAATTGATTCTAATGGATAAAGCTTTGGAAGAAATCTATGCTCGATTTAGTGATCGAGACTCGACAAATTTTATGTCCTTTGGCGTAACAGAGGCATCTAGTGCCCCAAGCAAAAAACTGCTACGGGACATCTATTCACGGAAAGCAAGGAGGTCACATTCAATGGTGTGAGCATGTCAAACACAATAGAAAAGGATAAAAATGAGAATTGTTTTCTCGTTAGCTAGGTGGAACTGAGTTTTAGAGACTTTTAAAAGTTGAAGAACTTTCAAAGCTTTAAAGATATGGATGTAAAAGCACCTTGGGCTCCTTCTGTTGGGAGCCCTTGGTTATCAAACTAAGGCAATGTTTTCAACCACTGTGTTACCACGCACTAGCATGCCTTGAGGTATTGCCTAGTGTGCCGTGGAAAATTCTCCAAATTGTCTTAATTGGTCTAAAAAAATTGAAAAATATTTATCCGCAAATAATGGCCGTAGAAAAAAAGGCTGAAAAACGCTAAATCAATGTGTCCTAAACTGTGTTACGCTATTGGCCGTGATATGGAAATGCAAGCGTGGATGCTAAGAATTCGACACAAATCGTCATAAAGCTCCTTCTATCAAATAGATCATCAGTTTCTGATCTCCAAGAAATGGAACACAAACTGTTCAATAATCATAAGAATAGGCAGGTAAGCAAAAAAGTGTGTGAATTACTGAAAATGATGCAAATTTTGTTCACAAAAAGATATCGATAAAATAGTAGATATGCTTGTTTGATGTCGTGGAAGAGATTCGCTTTTATTAATGAAAATTTGTGAAATGCTTAAATGCTTATTCTGAAAATACTTATTATTTGACATTATTTTAATGACGTTACATTTTAATCATTTTCTGACTGATATTAGAGGCTCACGTGTTAGAGTATACTCCGTATTTGGGCGTTATTATTTTTCGGGCAAAAAATTTCAGCCCCCCCCCCTACCTTTACACACCCTGTACGCCTATGGTTATGTACTTGCATTTGTGTTTCTCTGTTATGTATAAGAAACCATTCAAACTTTTTACCGATTCTAAAAGGCTGATATAGATGCTCATTCACGAAAAAATCATACTATTAGAGTACCGAAGTGTGATGGGAGATCAGCCCCTGTCTGTCGAATTCCACACTTGATGATGTGAACTAGCCTTTTATAGAATACCGAAGTGATGACATCACAAAAATATATTTTTAGAATGTCATTATTTTGATCACATAATCTGAAAGAACGGCATAAAATCCCCTCTCAATATGCAAAATCGGGTAGATATGTTGCAAATTGGGCGAGATATGGCCAATGAAAGGTTTCAAGTTTGCTAACGGATTACTGTTATTCCGGCCTGGTTCATAAAGTTATGAACCAAGACGAAATTACAGAGGTTTGTTAGGGCAAGAGCCTGTGCTCATGTGGCCATTTCTTCTCCAGTTTGTAACCCATTCTACTGATGATGCATATTTGGAGGTATTTCATGATGCTCTTTCAGGTTATGGGATCAAAGGTGAAAGATTCTAAAAATATATTTTTGTGACGTCATTACTTCGGTACTCTATAAAGGGCTAGTTAACATCATCAAATGTGGAATTCGACAGACAGAGGCTGATCCCCAAGAGTCTTTTTGAATATAAATAAGGGGGCTTCTTCCTGAGCTCAATGCCAGGGCACCCCTATTTAGTTC